CTTAACTCAAGTCGAATCGCATTTTCTGAGCTCATTCAATAAAGAACCCTCGTGATGGCCTTTAGGGTTGAATTTAAATTTTAATCAAACATCCTGAACAATTGTATTGCTATAAGTTAAACTAACCTCTCCTTGGTTGTAAAAATTGGAGAAGGTAGCTATGATGAGAAGGTCAAGCAGTCAAGCTAAAATTGCTGGAACTATAGTTTCAATAGCAGGAGCGTTGGTGGTTCTTTTCTACAAAGGCCCAACCATTTTATCCACTGTATCTCCGACAAACACCATTTCATTTCGTTGGCCTCTTGCCTCTGCGATTTCTGATTGGATTATTGGTGGCCTCTTGCTTGCTACACAATATCTTCTTTGTTCACTTTGGTACATTATTCAGGTACGCAAAGGTGAAATCAAGATTTTAAATTAAGAGAGACGAACGATAAAGAATTAATGAGAGATTGGTTTAAGTTCTGGTTCCAAGGCCACCTTCTTCACAACGTAACCTCACCACTAAACTTACTCATTCAAAATTTATACCAATATTAAAATATATGGTTAATTATACAAGTGATGTCTGAACTTTTTAATCTTTTCTATTTTGGTGTTTAAGCAAAAAAAAAAAATTACAATTAATATTTCCGTTTGTTTCCGTACAATAATTTACAAGAAAATAATTTGCTAAAAAATATTTTCAGTCAAAAACATTTTCCTTGAATAATATTTTCCAAATGACTTATTTTCCATTGTTTGCTTGTAATATTGAAAATTAGTTAAAAATATTAAAAGTTTTTATCTCATAAAACCATAAAAAATATTAATAATAATAGAAATTTTAAAATTTTAAAATTTTATTGTTAAGTATGAGAAGAATGAAAAAAAAAATATAAATTATAAAAGTCGGTGGTGGCCCGTACGTGGAGGTGGCTGATGGTGGTGGTTGGTAGTAATGATGACTGATGATAGCGATTATGATAATTAATAAATTTAAAAAAATATGAATTTATAAGGTCCATCAATGTTCAGAAAATGTTTTACTTTCTTGAAAATGAAAAGTTGTTTTCTTCAAAAAAATAACTTAATTCTCCTTTTGCCAGAAAAATATTTTCCGTTGACTTATTTTTCTAGGCGACCAAAACAACGGAAAATTATAGAAAATATTTTCCTACAAGTTATTTTATAGAAACAAATAGAGCCTAAGTATTTAAATTATTACTAAAAACGTTGCAACTATTAAGCATCAAATGCTTAATTAGCTCACCCGAGTTGCACATGAACTTTAATATGAAATTTGACTTTTTATCTTCATTTTTAATTCCATTTTCTTTCGTTTCACATTTAAAAAAACACAGAAATAATATAATTTAAAAAAAAAAAAAATTAAACAGAGGCTCAATTTTCTGTGGAGAAGCTTGTGGAAGAACTTGATCATCATGACTTAATTTGATGTAGGCTGAGATTTTGAAGATATACCCGGAAGAGCTTATTGTGACATTTGTGTACACTTCGTGTCTGACCATCATATCCGCCCCAGTATGCTTTGTTGGGGAAAGCAACTTGGATGCTTGGCTACTAAAACCTCATCTGGCATTACTTGCTATTTTGTACTCGGTAAGTGTTTTTTCTTTCTTTTAAATCCTTAAATTATAACTATATATAATATCTATTGAACCCTTCAACTTCGAAATTATAGAGAGTCATTATTAAACTAATGACTGAATTAACTGAATTTGAATACTAAATTAGCAATTAACTAATGCAAGATCAAGGACCATTTAAAGGCTTTTAGCCTTAATATTTGATAATTACAAAAATAAACAAAAGATAATAGGGAGAAAAATAGTAAGAACTATTATTTTATAATCAAGTGTTCGTACACAGATATTGTTGAGCTTTTATAGAGATGCATTAGTTATTTCCAGTTATGTGAAAAGAGACGTAGTTTATATTTATAAGCAGTTTACTCAGTATTTCATAATAACTTGACAAGCGTTACTAGAATGGACCTTGATTCAAATTATAACGCTCGTTCTTATACTCATGTATGCTAATTGTTTGAGTCATTAAGGTGTTTATATTAATGATAAGTTTGTCTATTTTTAGATCTTCAGTAATTAATAATAAATAATAATTTTCTTCCATTAACCTTATGGTAAAATGAATAAAAAGTTTTAAGATAAAATTGCAAGAGGTAAAAAAGATAATGGCTTTTTGTGATATTAAATAGGTTTTCTAAATATGTGATTTGGTATCTGTTTAGGGAATTTTTGCACAAAGCTATAGCACCGTTATTCATTCATGGGGGCTGCGTTTGAAGGGGCCTTTGTATGTAACAATATTCAGACCATTGTCAATTGCTATTGCAGCTTTTATGGGTGTCTTATTTCTTGGGGATGCTCTCCATCTTGGGATGTATGTATGCTCATCTTTTTTTGTTTTTAAATTATTTTTCGTATTCCATTTATATATTCCTTGGAATTATCAATTTCACAAAAGAAAATTCTTCAAAATTCATTAATTTGCATTTTATACCATTAACTTGATATAAAAAAAATCAGTGAATGTTTATTTCTCAGGCTTATTTTCATCAATTTGATTCCAATCTGACACCATTCATTTCTCTAATTGAAAGTTTCTCTTAAGCAATAGAAAATATCAATATGTTTGTAAATTATTTACATGTGATTAAGTCAAATCAGGCAAATTAAGCATTATTTAGTTTTTATATTGTCTTTTTATTTATTATTTTTTAATTTTTTGTAATTGCGTATTATGGAGCTCTATAATATCAATTTGGGTTTTTACTTGATTATGGGGAAAGCAATGAAGAAAATCAAGTGGAGAACAAGTTTTATTGACTTGAGATCTACTTCAAGATTCCTTTCTTGCAACACCCATTAATGTTAATGACATGTAGCCAAAAAATGTAATTGAAGATTTTTTATCTTTGATTTTTTCTTTTATTAGTCCTTAACCACACCTCATTTGTAAATTTTTGAGGTTTTTTTCCTTATCAAATCGCTTTTTTTTTTTTTAATATTAGAGAATATTCAAACTCGAATATATTGTCAGGTTATACATATATTTACTGTTAGGTTATGCCTTGACGTGCTTATCAAATTTCATATTTAAATGAAAAAAATTACTCTTATTCGGTGCTCAATTTAAACATTTCAAAAAATATTTATTGTCAAATTTATGTAATGAATCATGGATTTCTTTTTATATGAATAATAATCTTTCATATTATCAAATAATAAAAAAAATTTTTAGTGAAAAATCAAATAAACTCTTAAATGTCACTAAACTATACTCCTGAAATAAAGAGCCAGCAACCAAACAAACGATGTATTGATTAATTGAAAGTAACCTGAAGAAAATTTTACATCTCTTTATGAATGTAAGATACAATTTATTTGAGTTCATAATTTAAACAAATCGGGTGAGTAAAGTTGGGAAAAACCGAACAAATTAATCCAATCAAATTGATTTAGTTTAATTATTTATATAATTGGTTTGATTTTAGTTTATAATAGAAAGAACCGAAGTTTTTTAATTCAGTTAGATTTTTATTGAACTTAAAAAAATAAGTCTAAGTTAATTAAAATAGTTAAAATTCAATTCAACTAAACTAAATTGAATCAATTCGATTTGATTCGATTTACGTAAAAAAAATTTTGATTTATCTAGTGAATATTTCGAATGTCCACTTCTAGAAACAAAAACAGCCATTTGAATTGTTTTATTTGTCTCATTTTTTAAATTTATTTGAAGAGCATTGGTTTACAAAACTACAAATTGCTCTCTCTCTCTCTCTCTCATAAAAAAATCACAGCCCTAAAATTGCACGATTGCACCAAACAGCCACTGGAGCTGACTCCAGCCCAGAACTAATGGGTCTGAGCCGATTACGGTCTAGTGAAGCAAAACCAACGGTTCACTGAACCTGCGGACAGTGCCATGCTTCATTTGTTTGCTGGCAAGTGGTCGCTAGTGGAGTGTAATTATTCATACTTCATTACTTTGTTCATCATAATCAAAACAGAAAAAAAGTAACGGACAAAAATCATTAAACGCAAAGTTGTCCTGCTTTAGACAGTACTCTGTTTATTTATTGCTGATTACAAAAATAAAAAAATAAAACCCAAATAATTCATGGGTTTGATTTGATTAATATACTTTTCACATCTGATTGAAGTGATAAATTAAACAACACTTTGTCGCTAGTTTATTCCATTTCCTATATTCTTCTTATTTCTTCCACCATTAAACTGACCCAGTGCAGAAACAAAAAAAAAAAAAAAAAAAAAAAAAAGGAAAGAAAAGTAAATGGGTCCAAGGTTTTTATACAAAGATTTGCTTCCTTTTATAGCTATGGTGTCTGTAGAATGCACAAATGTTGGAGTAAACACTTTGTTCAAAGCAGCTTCTTCGAAAGGGATGAGTTATTATGTATTCATAGTTTATTCTCATGCAATTTCAACTCTTGTTCTTCTACCTGTCCCCTTCATTTTTTACAGGTCTTTAGTTATTTCTGTTTCTCCTAATCAATCTTTTCCTTTTAACTTATTCATAGATCTAATCTAATAGTAAAACAGTAGTTTTATTTCTCTATTCTATTCATGCGATACAGAGCAGCAGCAGAAATCAAGTTGGCCTCTTCTCTCATAGAATTTTTGTTTCTTGCGCCTTATTGGAATTAGTGCATCTACATAATTCAATCTGCCCTTTTCATTTTTCTGGCTTCATTGAATTTTCTTTTTCTTTTTTTTTAATTAATTTTTTTTCTGGAGACATTATTGCAGTTTCTTACTCAGATAGTTGAACTAAAGGCCTAGATACAGTCCCAACATCTTCCTCCGCCGATTGAGCAACCTAACTCCAGCTTTTACCTTTGCTTTTGCAGTTTTCATGGTGGTGATGGTGTGTGTCTCAATCCTTGAAACTAAGATCTAATCCATTTTTTATGGAGGCCTAATCATTTTATGGAGGCTAATCATAAAAGATCCCATAGTGATTTGTCTTTATGGTTAATTTAGAATTTTACAAATCAAAGTAATCCTAACAAATGTATTGCTAATTAAGTAACTAACCTCTCCTTGGGTGTAAAGGATGGAGAAGGTAGCTATGAGAAGGTCAAGCAGTCAAGCTAAAATTGTTGGAACTATGGTTTCAATAGGAGGAGCGTTGGTGGTTCTTTTCTACAAAGGCCCAACCATTTTATCCACTATATCTCCGACAAACACCACTTCGTTTCGTTGGCCTCTTGCCTCTGCGATGTCTGATTGGATTATTGGTGGCCTCTTGCTTGCTACACAATATCTTCTTTGTTCACTTTGGTACATTATTCAGGTACGAAAAGGTGAAATCAAGATTTTAAATTAAGAGATACGAAATATAAAATACTTAAAACAAGAGAGCTAAACTGTTTAAAGAATGAGAGATTGGTTTAAGTTCTGGGTTCCAAGCCCACCTTCTCCACAACGTAACCTCACCACTAAACATACTCATTCAAAATTTATACCAATATTAAAATATATGGTTAATTATACAAGTGATGTCTAAACTTTTTAATGTTTTTCTATTTTGGTGTTTAAATGAAAAAAATTACAATTAATGTTCCGTTTGTTTCCATACAATAATTTACAGGAAAACAACTTGCTAAAAAATATTTTCCTTGAATAATATTTTTCAAATAACTTATTTTCCGTTGTTTGGTTGTAATATTGAAATTAGTTAAAAATATTTAAGTTTTTATCTCATAATAATAATAGAAATTTTAAAATTTTATTGTTAATATGAGAAGAATGAAAAAAAAATGTAAATTATAAAAGTCAATGATGGCCTGTGGTGGTGGCTGCCGGTCGTCGGCAGTGGTGGCCGGTGGTGGTGGTTGGTAGTAAATGGTCACTGGTAGTAGCGATTATAATGATTAATAAATTTTAAAAATATGAATTTATAAGGTTTGTCAATGTTCGTAAAATGTTTTACTCTCTTGAAAATGGAAAGTTGTTTTCCTTTAAAAATGATTAATTTTCCTTTAACCAGAAAAATATTTTCCGTTCACTTATTTTCCTAAATGCCCCAAACAACGGAAAATTATGAAAAATATTTTCCTGCAAGTTATTTTACATAAACAAATAGAGTCTAAGTATTTAAATTATTACTAAAAACGTCGCAACTATTAAGCATCAAATGCTGAATTAGCTCACCAGAGTTGCACATGAACTTTAATATGAAATTTCTTTCGTTTCACATTTAAAAAACACAGAAATATTCACATTTAAAAAACACAGAAATAGTATAATTTAAAAAAAAAATTTAAACAGAGGGCTCAATTTTCTGTGGAAGAACTTGATCATCATGACTTAATTTGATGTAGGCTGAGATTTTGAAGATATACCCGGAAGAGCTTATTGTGACATTTGTATACACTTCGTGTGTGACCCTCCTATCCGCCCCAGTATGCTTTGTTGCGGAAAGCAACTTGGATGCTTGGCTACTAAAACCTCATTTGGCATTACTTGCTATTTTGTGCTCGGTAAGTGTTTTTTTTTTTAACTATATATAATATCTATTGAACCCTTCAACTTAGAAATTATAGAGAGTCATTTATTAAACTAATGACTCAATTAACCGAATTTGAATACTACATTAGCAATTAAGTAATGCAAGATCAAGGACCATTTAAAGGCTTTTAGCCTTAATATTTGATAATTACAAAAATAAACAAAAGATAACAGGGAGAAAAATAGTAAGAACTATTATTTTGATATGAGATAGATAAACTTAAGTGTTCGTACACAGAGAATTGTGAGACTTTTGTAGAGAATGCATACAGCTATTATCCAGTTATCTGAATAAGAGACATGAATTTTAATATCAAGCGGTTGACTCAGGTATTCAATACATAATTGACTGAGCATTACTGAATTGAATCCTTTGAATTTCAATTTATAATGCTCGGTCTTATACTCATCTATGCTAATGATTTTAGGCTCATTTAAGGGCTCGTTATATTAACGAATAAGCTTATGGTATATTTATTATAGTCTATCGGTATTAATAATAAAATAATAATATTTTCTTCCAATTATAGCCTATGGTAAAATTGATAAAATTAAAAAGTTTTAAGATAAAATTGCAAGAGGTAAAAAAGATAATGGCTTTTTGTGATATTAATTAGGTTATCTAAATATGTGATTTGGTATCTCTGTTTAGGGAATTTTTGTACAAAGCTATAGCATCGTTATTCATTCATGGGGGCTGCGTTTGAAGGGGCCTTTGTATGTAGCTATATTCAAACCATTGTCAATTGCTATTGCAGCTTTTATGGGTGTCGTATTTCTTGGGGATGCTCTCCATCTTGGGATGTATGTATGCTCATCTTTTTTCATTTTTGTATTCCATTTATATATTCCTTTGGATTATCAATTTCACAAAAGGAAAATTCTTCAAGAAATTCTATTAAATTTGCATTTTATACCTATTTAACTTGTGTTTAACGAAATAAATAATAAAATCAGTGATTAGTTTTTTTCTAGCTTAAATAATGCATCAATTTGCATTCCAAGATTCTGACCATTGATTTTCTAATTGAAAGTTTCCTCTTTAAGTCAAGTTCAGAATATCATATTGGTAAATTGTATACATGGCTTGTTATTTAAATCAGCAATTAAGATTATTTATTTTTTTATTATTTGTCTTATTTTTTTCTTTTTTGGTAATTGCATTTCTTGAGCTCTAATAATATCATGTTTTTATACTTGATATGAGGGAAAGAGCAAATGAAAAATCGTAGGACACAAGATTCTTAGTGACTGAGATCTACTCAAAGGTCCTTTCTTCGCAAACCACCCATTAATGGATCATTAGGCCAAAACATGTAATTAAAGATTTTTATATCCTTGGACTTTTTTTTTATTCGTCCTTAACCAACCTCATTTTGTAAATTTTTGAGGTTTTTGTCCTTAATTCCAAATCCATATATATTTTTAATATTAAGAATATTTAAAGCTTCGAATCTATAGTTAGTTATATATGTATTTACTATTATTATGTATTGACGGGCTTAATAAATTTCATACTTGGATGAAAAAAAGTTACATCTTATTTTCGCGTGCTACAGTTAAACATTTCAAAAAATATTTATTTGTCAAATTTATGTAGATGATAATCATGATATTTTTCTTATGATAATTAATCTTTCATATTATCAAAATAAACTTTTTTTTGGTTAGGTGAAAAAGCAAATAACTCCTTAAATGTCACCTAAACTATACTCAAATCAAATAAACTCTTAAATGTCACTAAACTATACTCCTGAAATAAAGAGTTAGCAACCAAACAAATGATGTATTGATTAATTGAAAGTAACCTGAAAATTTTACATCTCTTTATGAATGTAAGATACAATTTATTATTTATATAATTGGTTTGATTTTAGTTTATAATAGAAAGAACTGAAGTTTTTTTAATTCGGTTAGATTTTTATTGAATTTAAAAAAATAAGTCTAAATTAATTTAAATAGTTAAAATTCAATTCAACTAAACTAAATTGAATCAATTCGATTTACGTAAAAATAAATTTTGATTTATCCAGTGAATATTCCAAATGTCCACTTCTAGAAACAAACACAGCCATTTGAATTGTTTTATTTGTCTCATTTTTTAAATTTATTTGAAGAGCATTGATTTACAAAACTACAAATTGCTCTCTCTCTCTCTCTCCTTAAAAAATCACAGCCATTTGAATTGTTTTGTTTGTCTCTTTTTAGTTTCATTAGCATGTGATTTGAAACCATGTCATCATTTGATTTGGTGGTCTTAAAATAAGATTGTTTGTAATTTAATTTTTTTGCATTATTTTTATATTCTTGACAGTATAATCATGTGTAAAGAAACCAAAGGCAAAAGTTAATGCACATTTTTATTTATAAAGATTATTTTAAGGAAATACCTGTATAAATAAAATGAAATATGTATAAAGTTGATAAAAAAATTTCAGATCCAGACACATAAATTAATTTTTCAGATCCAGACACATAAATTAGTTCTTAATTAGGTCAGTGGAACACTATTATATTAGCAATAAACATTTAATCTTTTTGATATACTAAAAAAATTCTCGTAACAACAAACTAATTTTGCTTCATTTGTACCAAAGTTATCTTCATTATGTTTGCCCTGCCAGACAGACCAAGTCACAACTTCTGATTCATCCCTAGGAAACAGCAACATTTGAAACAAATTTCTTGCGGACAAAATAAAAAGTTTTCTTCGATATAGAAGAAAGTTAAATTTTGCAAGGGAGAAATCAGAAAGACAGAGATGGGATCAAGTAACTTTTACAATGAACTTTTACCAGTTGTAGCTATGGTTGCAACACTGGTTGCAGGTGTAGGATTAAACACTCTGTTCAAAGCTGCTTCTTTGAAAGGGTTGAGCTATTATGTATTCATCTTGTATTCAAACATCTTCAACACTCTTGTCCTTCTCCCTGTTCCAATTTTCCTTTGGAGGTATCTCTCTCTATTCTCTGCATATCTTCTTGTAAACAGAAATAGATATTATTACATATAAATTTTAGTTTGAATTGCAGATTTAATTTGTATCTCTTTAATATAATCATATACTCGATTCGTTTTTGAATTTGCAGCAGAACGACGGTTGCCTTGTTCAAATTTCCTCTTCTGTCAAGACTTTGTGCACTTGGGATTATTGGGTATGGAAATTTGTTCATGACCCTCTTCTTGTTATTGAAAATGCATAAGGAGAATTTGGAGAACCAATAATGGTTTTTTCTTTTCTAATTTCTTGGAGATTAGGCTTTTTTCTCAGCTTATTGGTTACAAAGGAATAAAGTATAGTTCTCCAACTATGGCTTCTGCGATGAGCAATCTCACTCCTGCATGGACCTTCTTATTTGCAGTCCTTTTCAGGTTCTTACTTTGCTACCTCTGTAATTAGGAATATATGTTTAAAATTAAACTCCCAGTGCTATATTCTTTTTTCTTTTTGTATAATAATCTCTCTCTTTTTTTAAAGAATGGAAAAGGTGGATTTAAGGAGCAAAAGCACTCAGAGTAAAATCACTGGAACCTTAGTATCAATATTAGGTGCATTAATGATGGTATTCTACAAAGGCCCAACAATTCTATCAACTTCATCCACAACACCGTCATCTAATGAGTCTCTGGGTTCATCACTATCAAATTGGGTCATTGGTGGTTTTTTACTTGCTCTTCAACATATTCTTTATGCTTTCTTGTTTATTATTCAGGTAATAATTAACCTTTCAATATCTCCAAGAACCTATCTGAAAAGGAAAAAAGAAAAACATTTCCAGAATATTGTTGCACTTTACAGACTCAAATGATGCAAATATGCCCATCAGAGCTACTCATAGCATTCTTCAGCTGCTTGTTCACAACTGTAGTATCTGCGCCAGTTTGTTTTATAGCAGAACCATATTTGAAAGCTTGGAGGATAAGGCCTGACATAACATTCATCGTGCTTACATACTCGGTATGTAAGAATATGTTAAATTGTGCTTATATACAGCTGAAAAGCAATTATAAATTGTTTCTTTCCAATATTATCTTAGAAGCAAATTGGAAATATGTAATTAGAGACTGTAATTTTTCAGGGAATTCTTGGGGGAGCATCACTTGGAATTATTCACTTATGGTGTCTGCGCATGAAGGGTCCTGTCTATGTTGCATCATTTACGCCACTAACAATTGCCATTGCTGCTGCTATGAGCTTCAGTTTTCTAGGAGATGCTCTTCATCTTGGAAGGTATAGTCAAATCTTGAGTTGCTTCATGCTTTTTTCCATTTGGGTTTTGGAATTTCAATTCATAGCTCTCTTTTTTTTTTTTAATATTCAGAACATTTATTCTAATATTTTGGTTTTGCAGTGTGATTGGAGCAGTAGTGATATCAATTGGAGTGTATGCTGTGATATGGGGAAAAGCAAAAGAAGAAAAAATGAGAGAGGAATCCTCTTCTGCTGGTACCAAACCTCTATTGCAAGACCATAAAGCTGAAGATCCTTAAGTAATTGAAGCTCAATGAAGGTTTAATATTAGTTTTTTAGTGTATGAGGCAACTATTAAATCTTCACAGTTCATCCTTTTCTAAGTCTTCTTATTCAAAAAAAAAAAAAAAAAAAAAAAAAAAAATCCTTTTCTAGTCTTTCTTATCAAATAAAAAAAAAAAAAGAAAAAAAAAAAACGTTGAAACACACCAAAGCTTACTTATTGTTGCATCAAAAAAAAAAAAAAAAAAAAAAAAAAAAAACGTGAAACACACAAACTTACTTATGTGCTTTTAATAAAAAGTGCACCTTCCATCGTACCAACTTCTACTTTAATCTATTGAACGCTTCAAAATTACACGGATTAAATATGTCAATATGTAAATTATTATATTTAATGATCCAATTTATAAATTAGATCAAATTAAACTTAAACATTTTATTAAATAGTTGAAAAATATGAAATTTATTATTCTAAGAGTTATATTAATTATTGGAGAGATCCTCTTTATTTTCTTTATAACGTTTTAGTTTTTGATTATTGGAGAGATCCTCATTATTTTCTTTATAATGTTTTAGTTTTTGACGCTTTTGTTTTATGTTCATTCACTTAGGATGGAGATTTTAGGTTCGGGTGGAAAGCGTAGACCTATTGGTCTGAATTTGAATCTTTTGGTTAAATTTTTTCTAGCATTTTAATAAAAAAAAAGGACTAAACTTATATAGATTGGGTTCATAGACCTTTTCATAGACTAAACCAATGAAAATAGAAATTTTTTTAAAAAATTTTGTTGTCATTTATCATTTTCTTTTTCTCAGTATGTTTATAAATATCATCATTTCAATAAAAAAACATTTTTATTGATAAATTTAGTGTGTCAGATACATTGAATTTACTTACACGTACAAGTGGATTATTTCCAGTGTTTTAATATATTTTCTTTACAAATCGCGTTTTGATTATATTGAATCTGCTTATATTTCATACATCTTCATGTTTATTGAATTTTCTTAAAATTTCTCAATAAAATTTTCATTATTTTGATAAATTCATAAAACCCGTTATTATGGTCATACGCCCTAAAATATTACACATTTGGATTTGGTTGTGCCAGTGTCTTGCATTGCGTGTTTACAAAAAAGAAAATTACTTGCCTAGACTGATCCATAGCCACGATTATGGATCAAATCAATAACAATAAAAATTATTTAAAAAGTGTTCCGACTTTATTCTTATATAATTTTATCCTTTTGTAATTATATGAAAAGAAAGAGCGTTTTTGTCTTTTATAAAAAATTAAACGGCAAAAAAAAACTATAAAATTGTATTCGGCAACCGTTTTTTAAGTATTTTATCAAAACGTAAAGTTGTTCGGCAACATAGTTTGGACTAGTTTTTAGAGATTAGGATAACATTTTGTAAAAAATTACTTCTAACATTTAGCTTTCACATTTCATAAAAAGTTATTCAAACAACTTACAGTTAAATGCGAAAAAATAGCTAACAACCATTAAAATAATTAATTTTTCCGAACAAAATCTAACTGAGGAACTAAATTAAGAATGAATTAGTAAATTTTTTAAAAAGTGAGGACAAAGTGATTATTTTTTTGTTTTAAAATGAATGTAGTCATTAGTTTTCGGATGAATAGAGATTTAATAGTAATTTTTCAAATTAATAATACCGATAGATTGGGTTAGAGTAATAATTAACAAATAGAGTCGAAATAAAATAATAGTAGATGGAGTATGAAATGAAAACACTTACGAATATTTTAGACATGGCATTTTATTTATATAGATGTGGAGGGTGGACCACACGTGTCGTAAAGAGGCTTGATTTATTTATTAGGTAGATCTACAAATTTGCCATGATTGTGTCCAGACGTGTGGTCAGCACACGAATTGCTTTTATTGTGGGGTAGAGATTTATATTATAAAATTTAAAATTTGATTTTGTTTCTATAAACATTATTAATAATTATTATTATGATGTCAAACTCCACTGGTTGTCAATTTCTTTCATTCAATTACTGCGTTTTTATCAAAATTTAATAAAAATGTCTCAATTATTATTAGACTAGTTTCTCTAGAAATCTATTATTATTAGGTTTCAACACAAAAAAAAAAAAAAAAAAAAAATATAGTTTCCTCTAGAAATCTAATTTATTATTTAAGGTTTCACAAACACAAAAAAAAAAAAAAAAAAAAACACAGTTGATAAATTAAAGAAGGAATTTAGGTTTAACTTATTTTTTAAAAAATTGAAAACTAAAAATTAAGATTTTCTTAAAAATGTGAATCTAAATTGAACTAATTAATTGAAATAATCAAACTAAAAAATAAAATTAATTTGATTCGGCTCCCATTTTAAAAAAAAAAAAAAAAAAAAAAGTTGATAAATAAAGAAGGAAATTTAGGGTTTAACTTATTTTTTAAAAATTGAAAACTAAAAATTAAGATTATCTAAAATGTAATCTAAATTGAACTAATTAATTGAAATAATCAAACTAAAAAATAAAATTAATTGATTCGGCTCCATTTTTTAATTTTAATCCAAGTATGTTAACTCCTAAAAAATTGATATGTTATCGTATAAAAATCCAATTAAACGATTCGGTTGAATTTTTCAATTTTTACCTATATATGCGTCTCCCTAAAGAAATCAATTAATGGAGAACAATTCATAAAATAAAAATATCCTTTAATTATAGAAAGTGGAGGAGAAACAGAGACTGAGACCTTTTAATTTCAGGATATCAATCTTTATGCTAAGCTTGAGGATGGTTTGATTATAGAAGGTGGAGGAGAAATAGAACCTGAGACCTTTAAATTTCACGACATCATTCCTTATACTATGCTGGAGGATCACTTGCTCTAAAACTAGTACTTAGAACTAGCAAATGAGAGGTGCCTCTAATTTTCTGGGGTACCCATCATTTTGTTGGGTGGGGAACTCAAAGTAGTTCTCTACATCATTCACACCTTAAGCATGAATAATTACCATTTGGCAATTATATCACTAATGCACATAAATAATTTCTCAAAGATACCTTTCACACGATATATACCCATTTTTATATGGTTTCTTGATATTCAAGATGAAAGAATACGACTCTTGACAATAATAATAAACTGTAGATACATTAACAACAAACAGTAAACACACTTCCAACTAGAAAACAGAACCAAATATGACATATATTAGATGTAGGATATTAGTATAAAAAGGAACAAAACAGCAGTTCCTGTTTTTGGAAGTCATCTCTCTCCCTATAAATTTTACATAGGGATCTCAGAATTCTTGAGCCTAATCTGATTTCTTGACAGAGAGACAGAGAGAGATGGCAAGCAGGAGATACTGTTACAAGGATGTATTGCCATTTACAAGCTTAGTAACAATGGAGTGTATAAACGTAGGCTTAAACACTCTCTACAAAGCAGCCACTTTAAAAGGGATGAATTATCATATCTTCATTGTTTATTCTTATGCTATTGCCGCTCTTGTTCTCCTTCCTGCTCCTTTCATCTCCTACAGGTTAATTTCTCTCTCTTTCTCTTTGATTTTATGTTCCTTTTCATATATAATTGCATTTCTCAAGTGGGTTTTTGAAGAAATTAATTAATTTTTTGTTTTTATGCAGATCAAGAGTGCTTCCTCCATTAAATTTCTCTATAATGCGTAAAATTGCTCTTCTTGGGCTTATTGGGTATAATTTTGATTGAAAAAAAATTCGAAAGTTATGGGTTCTGTGGGTTCTTTGAAGAAATTAATTTGAGTTTGTTAATTTGCAGGAGCTCATCTCAGATTTTAGGGTATACAGGAATCAATTACAGTTCTCCTACTCTTTCTTCAGCCATCAGCAACCTGACACCAGCTTTTACTTTCATTCTTGCCATCATCTTCGGGTACTGCTTTCCGTTTCTTTTTCTTTTACTTTTTTCTTTTATTCATAATTTACATGAATACCCTTATGTGTTAATCAAACTACCAAAGAAAGTCCAACGCATTGATTTTCATTAGAAATGGCTTGAAAATTTGATTTTGATTTTGATCATGTCGTTGATACTTTACTTTCCCTCCGTTAGCTTAGGTGACTAGGTGTTAGGCTTTGTACGTTGGTGGTGACCAGTACCGGTCGGTCTTTTCAGGCCCATTTCTACTATTGGCGAGTCGTTGAGCACTTTTCAGTTTTCTATTTTTTACAATAACCGGTTCGAAACACCAATTAAACTAGCGGTTCTGGGTTAATTCTACCCTCACACTTCGCTGTAGGAGTTAGAATTGGACGATTTCTCCAATTCCTGTTTAATTTAGAATTGAAATTCTAGGATTAATTTCGGTCTGATCGCCCTTAAGTTTTGCTTATTTCTTAGATTTAACGTAACTGGGGGAATTAATTTGTATGACTCGGATCGGGCATGTTCTTTCAGGCCGATACGTGATTCAAAAGCTTTAGAAGCTTTACTTCAATTTCTCTCTAGTGTAGAAAAACATTAATAAAGCCAAGTTGGCTGCATAATTAATGTTTATGTATATATTACATAAAAAACATGCATTTATTTATATTACAATGTCTATAAGATTCTTCAAAAAAAAAAATGGGCTCTTTTAAATTTTAATTACCTTTTTGGAAAATTTATAATATCATTTGTTTCAATAATTGAGATACAAAATAAAATTCTTTTTAGCATTTTCTTAGTATTATGGACAGAAGATTTTCAAAGAAACAATATAGGAGGCTGTTTCTGTTGTTTTTTTTTTATTATTTCTTTTATTTTCCTTTTGACTGTGCCTGTCTTGTTAGGCAGCATGCAATAATAGTGATGGTAATTGCATCTTATCTAGTCCAATTAAGATTCCAAAAGCAGAAAAATGGGTGATGAGTCTTATTAGGTTAAACTCAATTGGTATTATTTTCCTCGTAAAGAACAAGAACAAATGATGATATTGATATAAAGTGATACCAATTCTTTCAAGTGGATTGACTAGAACTGACCCCACACTTCAATTCACATGGACCACCACTACTAACTTTTATTGTATGCTTCTTTTTTTTTTTGCTTGGAAAAAGAATGGAGAGAGTTGGACTAAGAAGAAGAAGTAGCCAAGCTAAAGTCATAGGGACAATTGTGTCAATAGCAGGAGCATTTGTAGTGACTCTATACAGAGGCCCACCAATTGTTATTGTTTCATCACCATCTGTTTCTCTATATCAGCCTCTTCTTCATTCATCAAATCCAAATTGGATACTTGGTGGCATTTTTCTTACTGGTGAATACATACTTGTTCCATTATGGTATATTGTTCAGGTACAAGCTATTCTTTCCTTCAATAATGCTTTTCAAAATGAAAGTTTCTTACCCGAACATGGTCTAAGAGATGTGGTTAACCAGTGCTTGTAATGATGCACAGACTCAAATAATGAAAGAGTACCCAGCAGAGCTCACAGTAGTCTTTTTTTACAACCTGACTGTGAGCATTATAGCAGCTTTTGTAGCTCTGTTTACAGAAGGTGCTACTAGTGCTTGGATTGTTCGGCCAAGTATAGCATTAGCCTCCGTTGTTTGCTCGGTAATTTGGTTCTCGTGCAATTCAATCTTGAAACCTGTCAATGTTGAGAACAACTCTGATGCTATTGTTCTAATCCCTTTGACTTCATTTTTGTTAGGGACTGTTTGGATCATGCTTGAACAATACTGTTCACACATGGGCTCTGCATTTGAAGGGACCTGTCTTTGTAGCAATGTTCAAGCCTTTGTCAATTGCTATTGCAGTTGCCATGGGAGCCATGTTCCTTGGTGATTCCCTCTATCTTGGAAGGTATGAAAACCATGAAATAATTCAAAATTTTCTGTTCCCTGTGTTTTTGTAGAAGCTTTTAGTTTTGCATATTCTTGATCCTATCATATCCTGTGTTTGACAGTCTAAGCGGAGCAACGATAATATCTATTGGGTTCTATACTGTAATGTGGGGGAAAGCCAAAGAAGAGTTTAGTGAGGATCCTCAACCTCCATCCACCCACAAAGTCCCTCTATTGCAAAACTACAAAGAAGAACTAGTGTAGCAGTTCTTACTTGTTAGGGTCGAAATTGACCAGAATTGCCACCTTATTACCAGTCTTGAGCAGCATGATTGTACAGTGTAACAGTAAAAAATGCTCGGGACCGAGTAAGCTGGAGGAAACCGTATAGCTATTGTACATAACAAGTATCCAACTACAAGTGTCTACTCTTATAAAAATCTAGTACGTGATGGCTCATGTTTGCCTGGTGAACAACATAAGCTGCATCAACGCTTGGTATTTGGTGTTTTCAATCTTATAAATGCCTAACAAAGTGTAATCAGAACTCCTTGCTTGCAACTAAAAGCACATCTTCATAAATTATTAGCAAGTGATTTCTATAGTACGATGCAAAACCAAGCATCAAATGTTGACCTTGATCTCAACTTTTCATTGTTCTAATTATTACTTTTGCATCAAAAGTAATAAACAAAAGGATAAAATTGGTAAAAGAAACAATCAAATGGCACAAATAATCAGAGGTTAGGCAAACAAAGGCCTTCAAAAGGGTTTGCCTAGTTAAGCCAACAGCAGACCGTTGATCGCTGAAGAGAATTATTTCATATGATACACGGCACATTCAACCCAAGCAGAGCATGTTAAAAAATAAAAATTTTCCCGTCTCTTTTCTTCTTTTTTCCCCCCTAAATCTAGAATAAACCCAGTTCCATTTTACAACTTTGACCCAATTGCCATACCTTAGTAGAGCAACTATACGAGCAATGCTTTTACTATAGATGCAAGCATGAATGTGCAAACACAGTCACCTGTTCGCCATGTAATCCGCACAATAGTGCTATGGTCGTCCATTTCCTACATATTAAATGCTTCCATAAACTGAAGAGCTTTATGAAAATTACAAACAACACAAACTATAAAATCCAACAACCAGTATCTTACATGAGTATACAAAAAATGAAATAAAATGAAAACAAAATGTTTATCATGGTTTACTCCATACCTATATAGTTTTCTATTATAAAATATGGACAGGAAAATTACACCTTACACCTGAGATAATTTTACCGGCAGGAGAAACTAACAAAACATACTCTCTGAGACCTAGGGAGACAAACTATCTGTTTCTTTCACTCAACATGAAATACGTGTGGATAAAAGTACAAATACAATGAACTCCTCTACTGCCATTAAGACACATCTAACTGTAGCAAAATAGTGCAAGCCAAGTGGGCACATTAAAGCAGGAAATCACTGAATATTTCATACTTTGAGGCAAACATAACTGTTGAATTATCCTGAATTTCCAACAAGGAGATGCAAAAATTGAAACTCTACCAGGCATCTAAGATGGCAGCAAGATTCTGTACCTTTTACTGTTAGCTTTTTCTCAAGTCTTAAGATCATCTGACATAGCAGAAGGTATACAATGTGTTGCAAGGATACCTAAAGTAGCTGCCTTGGCATTGCTTGTCTGTAGGACCACTATCTGAAAAAACCAATTCCCAATGCAAAAAACGTCATGAATGAGAGTGGGAAAGGGAGGATTGTAGAAGGCAGAGAGAAACAGAGAGTACCTGCTGATATTCTAGGTCAAATTTTAAATATTCATCATCACAGTTCTCCACCATGTCAGCCAAGTTTTTCAGATTCTTCACAGGCTTGCCATTGAAAGAAAGAACCTAAATAACAGCCAGAGAGATTATCACAAAATCCTTTCAAGTTTCCTTATGTTATGTCACATTGAAAATTGAGTAAAGTACCTGAGTGTTGACTATTTCTTCATATCCAATGTTAATGTCAGCGACAAGAACCTAGTATACATATTACAAACAAATATGTATGCAATAAATTATTAGCAATAAAGATACCTCTGGCCGAAAAACATAAAGAAAAAAACATGGAACTTTTTTTTTTTTTTTTTTTGGGAGTCAAAAGGGGAAAGCAGGGAGATACCTGCGAAACGACAACAACCTGTTCATCTACAGATTGTGCCATTGCATGTAGATGCTTGTCCAATATTTTGACTGGAGCATCAAATTCATAGTCCTTTCCATACTGGAACCAAGATAATTTAAAGAGTTACAGTTGGACAACTTGCGTAGACTTTTACAGATGCAAACAGAAGTACTACTGTACTATCTTCAAATTAATAAAGCTGCTAGGTTCATGCACTTATTTCACTAAGCTACTGTTAAAGTTGAATAGGCTGCAACAAACTAATGCATCCCATCATCAACCACTACCAGTTCTAAATTCAATCTAGAGATCAAAATATTGTCACATTCTAGCCTATATTACAGAATAAGGGTGTGGGTTGCACCATGCATGTACATCATCTGGGTAACGGAAAGCTTAGCCTTGAATAAAGGCTCCTCTGTACCATCAGTTCTCAAATTGATATGATATCGCATATAAAAAAGAAGCGAAAGGACAACAGTTTTTCCTTCAAAATATTTGCACTGCATTATTCTAGAAAAAGAAAATAAAAGACAGCTAATGGGGCAGACTATAGCCTGTGGTATATAAATACAACGGTGGAAGGCAAAGGATCAACTGAAAGGTTAATATTTGGGCCAGCAGATTACAATCAATTTTGATATGCCCACCGCAGATTGCATGGTTTTGCCACGTATATTATTGATAGTTTAGAGTTTTCAAAAACATATTTTATGTTCAAGTACTCAATCTTTCAAGCCAGCTGCTGAATTCATCTGCTAAAATAATACAATAGACAATCAACAAGAAATTAGCTCTAAGCATACATGGACACAAAGACATGCCATCATTTCACACATGTATAGGATTAAACACACATGGAGAGACAGACATGAAAGTAGTCCATGCATGCATAGGAGTACCATTGTTGAGTACATTAGGTTTTCAAAAAAGAAAATGAAAAATAAGCAAAAAAAAAAAAAATAATAATAATAAGACATGAAGTAGTCCATGCATGCATAGGAGTACATTGGTTTTGAGTAACATTAGGTTTTCAAAAAAAGAACATGAAAAAATTTAAGCAAAAAAAAAAAAAAAAAAATAATAATAATAATAATAATAGAGAGAAGGAACAAAACTACAAAAAGCAAAAACAACAATGAAATTATTCAAGTGCAGTGCACACCTCTGATCGCAGATATGGAACAGATACAGAAGTAAAAACAAATCCAGCAATAATGAAATAAGAAGGAGGTTTGCCCTTAATATGTGCTGGGATCAACCGCTTGTGAGCTGCAAGTTTTATGTTGAACTCAAGTATCTCTGAATTGCGGAGAACTTTAACCACAGCTTTATCACCAGTATACTTTTGAGAAACAAGGTAACTAAAACTAATTCGCTCTCCATGCCTGAATGGAACTGGAAACAATTCAATGGAAATGATTAATGTAACGTATCCAATATATTACACAATCATATTGATGAAATTGGTGCAAGACAGTTTTCTTATAAACAGTCAAACGTTAATGAAAATGTAAAATAAGTTCAACAATATAAAAGAGATAATTATGCCAATGGTGTCCAAACTTTTCAATTTTCGCTATTTTGGTGCTTAATGGAAAAAAGGTTCAAACATTAATTTGAGTATTGCTGCTTAAATTGGTTGTTTGATCGATAAACTAGGTTGAAAAGAAGATGAATAATGAAATGGACTGAGGCTATTTTGTCTTTTCCATTGTAAAAGTCACGTGCAATGCTTAGACAAGCTCATGGTTGTTTCATGTTAGTTGACCATATGGCAAAAATTGGCCTCAGTTCGTTGAATTCAGCATTCCAAAAACCCATGTCAACAAGATTCCTTGACTGCGAGTTTTTAACTAGTTCAAACACTTAATTGCAAAACTTTCCGCTCAAACACCAAAATAGCAAAAATTGAGAAGTTAAGACACCACTTGCATTATTATCCCAAAACAAAAAGGGCAAAAGGGAAGCAAAGAAATGAAATTCACTTTTTTTTTTTTTTAATAATTTGTAGATTCCCTGGTGCCAAAATAGCTTGTCATTATCACGTAACAGCCTTTTAACAGCAGTCAAACAAGTTATCCTCCCCTTGACAAAACCACCGGTCATAATAGCAAAATTCATTTTCAAGCCAAGGTACAGAAAATATAAACTGGATCAATTAACAAATTAAATCCCAGGAAAACCAACTCAACAAAGTAATAACTACAAATTCCACAACTCACTCTGAAGTATGCAATTAAATTAAATTCCAGAACCAGATAAAACTGATTCACGACACCACCAAACAATGACATTATTATTATTATTATTATTATTATTATTATTATTATTATTATTTCTGGAGGAAGTGTAAAGTAAGAAGCTTATTACCACTGTTATGCCCTGTATAGGCCATCTGATGCTTGATTTAAAAAAGGAGAACTAGTTAAGCCCACCCATATGGATTTCTTTAATTTCTACCACTTCCAAAAACACAAGGCCAGGCCTTTGCCGTAAAATGTTAGTGACAATGTTAAAACTACATCTAACTCAAACTTTTATAAAAACAAAGACATCCACAAGAGAAGCTTATATGAGTTCGCCAATACATGAACTGATTGATCGATAAGATAAAAGAGCACGGTTATATTCATCTCAAATTGGACTAGTGATGAGATGAGCAGCAGCATTTAACATTTCCTAGGTGAAATCAAGAACTTGCAAGTATGGATTTATTAATGAGTTCCATTTTCGAGGACATTTCCAATTATCATCCAAGAGAAGGATAAAACCCCACTATAAAAGAAGCATACACAAGGAAAGATGCAGAATTAGCAAAACGACGAGAAGACTCATTAATCATTATGATTATCTGGAACATCTTATGTCCACTAAGATGAGGGTGATAGGAAAAGAAAGGCTACCATCTATTCTGTACAATATTTTATTATTTTGATGTACCCAAAAAATGACATGCTTCAATCCCAACTATGTAGTTGACAAGAATTTCAAACAATGAGAAACTCAAACTTAAATGAAAATACCACCCCACACTTCAACATTAATATAGTCAACAATGATAAAGTTTTTGCCTCATCTCACTACCTTTGTTTAGTGCACAGTGAAGACACAACGTGCATAATCATGCAAAATAACATTATACTTAAATGGTAAAATGAAGGAAAAATAGATAGTAACATTGGAATTTCACAAAAAAAAAAAAAAAAGAAAGAAAGAAAAAAAAGAAAAAAGGAACTCAAATTTTGGGCAAGAAAATAATAAATATGTTTACAAGAAAAATGCTTACTTGTTCCATCATTAGCAATCTTAACCCCATCAAAGCTAAGGATAACATCAGATGGCTTCAAAAGATGGGATTCTGGAGCTGTTGGTTCAATTCTTCTAATGCGAACACCCTTCATATCAGGTCCCATCCCCATTGACACGCGCAAATCAGGATTCTCCATCTTCTGCCACTCAACCCCAAGAATTGGGAAGCCTAAATAGAGCACAAAAGGGACAATAATTAAGGTAAAAAAAAAAAAAAAGCAGAAAAATTAAAGCCATAGCATTACAAAAAGAATCAACAGTAGATGATGGCTGAAAGGGGACCAATCAAGCCAAATAGAGAAAATGCCATACCTGTATAAGCCCCATTCTTTTCATAATCATGAATAAAATGCATGATAACTGGTGTGGGTATTACATAACCAATATTCTCCACATCTTCATGTTTCAAAGATTGAAATGCAATACCAACACATTTGCCCTTGTCATTAAAGGCAGGCCCCCCAGAGTTTCCAGAGTTTATTGCTGCGTCTATCTGCATTAAATTGTAAAAAATAAAACACATCCGCTGGAATAGGTCAATTCTCAATAACCAAAAAGAAAACATGATTAAACTATAGTAAGTAGAATTTGTTTTCTATAACCTGCAAGCCCAAAAGCTCGGTTGATCCATGGACATAAGATAGTATCTCTATGCGCGAAACGACACCACTTGTCACAGAAATTGTGTCACCCCCAATTGGGTAACCCACAACAGTAACAGCATCTTGAAGGGCAGGCAAATCTCCAAACTCCACAGGTGTAACTCCCTCCCAAAACTCATCATCATTGACTGTCAACAGTGCTATAAAAATAAAGAAAATATAGAATAATCATCACCATGCGATCAAATAGCCTAACTTACTAAGATAACTGCATTAAAAAGGTAACTTAAATTGAAGGAAAGCTATGTATTTTAACATATCAAACAATAAAAGAATTGCATACCAATATCACATTCAGTGCCAATAGCCAAAACAGTAGCGAGATACTTAGTATCAGACCCTCTCTTCTTCAGCTTAACTTGGGTGTGATGCTCTACAGAATGCGCATTTGTCAATACTCTTCTTCCCCCAATGATAAACCCACTACTACTCGAACTATACTGCCTTTTTCGCTGCCAGGGCAATGAAAAATTCGGTTCAGTATGCACGCAAAACACCTTGACCACTGCATCCATTGCCGGAACTACTTTCACTACAGTCTCCCATTCCGCCGCCGCAACCACTCCCATCATATTATTGTGCCTAATTTCACCGACGGGTGCATAGAATTCCCCGTTTTGCTCTCCGTGTCGTGTCAGCCTTCGTTCTGGTGACTTGGGTTCCGACTTTTCCCTGCGTTTTCCTTTCTTTCTGGGTCTTCCACGGCCGCGGCCGGAGGGAGGAGGGCTAGAACTAGTGCTAGGGGTATCGGTGGTGGCGGTAGAGGGAAGAGAAACGGCATCGATTTGGGGTGTGTTGGTGGTGAATTGCAAGTCCATGGTGTCTGGGGCTGGAGTTTTCTTGGGTTTCCGCCCGCGTTTTCTGGGTTTGTTGTCCATTTCTTTAGGTGTTGTGTTTCTGGTGCGCGTAAGGGTTTTTGTTAATCTTATTCGGATTCTCTGTAAATCAAATGAAGAGGGGGAGGAGACAGAAGAGACCATGTTGGGCTTTTGTGGGCCTCAATCGAAATTAGGGCACATTTTCGAAAATGGTCTTTAGTCCATCATTACGGCACTTTTGCCCAATGCTATTGGGCTGTGCCTGAGCATGACATCCAAAATCATTTAGTTTACGTTTTAGCTATATAATGATAATTTTAAATCATAATTTTTATATTCTCAACTAATTGTGACAATTTAAAAATTATTATTAATGAATGAAATTATAGGAAAAATTAAAATTCTATCTTCAAATGCCTAATAAGAAGAGATATTATAGACATTTTCCTTTTTATTATCAGTGGCCTTTTCATGAAAACCATATTAATTTTTATACTTTTCTCATATTTCATGTTTCAATTGTCTTTTTTGATTTTCTTTTATTTTTCATTTTTTATTTTTTATTGATACTAAATTCACTTCATGCCTATTTACATCTATACCTATCTAGATAATCTTTATTTTCTTTTTTTTATATAATTAATGATTATGTAATAAATTTATTATATTAATGAAGCTCTTCGTTTTCTTTTCTTTTCAAAAATTAATAATTCAAACAATAACAAAATAAAGATGAAGGCTAACATTGGAATTAAATTAAGATTTACTATTTGTTTTTGTTAAAAATAAATAAAGATAATGTTACAATTAGAAGACAAAAAAAAAAGATATTAAAGCAAAATTTTTAAGGGATTAAGAACTTATATGTTTATTGTTCGTCGCATGTTCAACAATATTAGGTGTTTTAGTATAATAGCTTTTTAATTCTAAACTTTAGAAAATAATTGTTATATAATAGTTTAAATTACAAGTATTCGATAAAAATAATTGTTTAACTTAAAATAATAAAAAAGACATTAGCTATTTAATTAATTGAATTTAGGGGAAAAATAGATATGATTATCAAAAAAATTAATTAATTTGTCTAAAACGCTAAAACTTAATTTCAGAATAGTACAATTAACATAAATAAAGTGTTGATTTGGTCCACACGCAATATTCTAGTTCAAAATTATGCAATCTTATATCAGTTTCTTGAAATTTCAATGACCAAAGACCTTCTAAATTTAGTCGATTCTTTAAATTATGTTTATGATGTATTTTTCTAAACTTAATTAATTTTAATTAATTATTTCACTCAAAAACACTAATTGAATTTTATTTTTCAAATTCGATTTCTTATCATGTTAATCATAGCATACCTCGTGTTAATCAATAAATTTTGGCTTCAAATTGCAACTTGTTTCTTCAATTCCAATGGGCGAATCCTGACTTTTCAGCTGTTTGCCACGTTCAAACATTTCATAGCAACTCCTCATTTCTTCAGTTGTCATCTTGTTTTTTACTACCAATTACGTCCCAGTTTCAATTTGATACAAATAAATTACAAATATAAAATTTATTTTTAAATAAGTCATAATTATAATTCATTATTAATGAATTCTTAAAATATATGATCGGTTTGAATTTCAAGTTTTTTTTATATTTGGAATAATTCTAAAATTGAATATAAAAAGGAGAAAATTATTTCGAATTCTATAAGATTTTGTAGAATTCATTAATTTGTTTCAAATGGGATGTTAATATTAATTACATCCTAAAATAAAAATTAATAATAATAATGATAATAAATTAGGGTTTTTAATTTAATTACTTCCTTTTGTAAATGTTAATCCAAATGAATGTTTTTTTTTTAGTCATAGATAATCATATAATAATTGGTTGAGTCTTACTTTTATTCACTCTATTAAAATGGATTGGTCATTGGCAAGAAACCAAATTAGTTCAGAGACTCATTAAAGTTGATCAGATGCAAAGCCAGAATAGAAGTTAAACCGTCATTTTTAATTATTTTAGTTCCTTTCAATAGGATAATTTTTTCTTTAATTAGTGAATAATAAATGAATTTAGATAAGTTTAGCGTCATTTTCATTAGGGAGAAAAGATACATTTTGCACGAAAGATAGACATCCATCCTCGTCAAATGTGGATTTATATATAAAAATGAGGAGTCAAAGGGTCTTTTTCCTAAAATTCTTATATCTAAATTTATAAATTTAATTAATTTATTTTTGATCCCTATTTTCTTTTTAAAATTTATGTTCATCAAAAAGAAAAATTGCCACGTCTTCTCAAATAGATTGTATTTGGTTTCAACAATAAATTTCTCAGACTAATCATTATTATTATTTTTATATATTTATAAGAGTTTTTTTTCCCTATCATGTAATATTCTCACCTGCTATTGAATATTTTAAATAATAAATAACAAAATTGAAGTATCTATAAATTATAATTCAGTTGATAATACAAGCTGAAAACATAGAAAAAACTTTTGAGTTCCTTAACTGTGACCGAGTCTGAACTGAATTAGATTCTAAATACTGGTAATTTAAAAAAAAAAAAAAAAACAAAGTTGAAGTTTATTTGACATGCGGCGTTGGTTATTCAAAGCAAAGCAAATTGGAAAATAAAAGATTTATAAAAGAGAATCGTAAAAGGAGAGAGATGGAGGAGAAACTGGCTGCACAGTCAATTATTCTTTTTAGGCTGCTTAATTTTTATACAACTATTTATTTATTTATTTATTTTCTTTCGTGTCTGTAATCTAGCGGCTGCGTAACCTGTTTCGGAAAAATAAAAAATAAAAAATTAGCGGCTGCGTAATTTCCACGTGCAAATTTATATGGCTGCTTGCTTGCATCCATACATTACAAAATACTAATAATTATTCATTTATTTTCTCATATTTTATCAATAATGAAACCAAAAATTTATTTAATTTAGCTGTTTATAATAGCTGGTATCTCGTATTAAGAAATATTTATAATACTGTTTAATAGTTAGCTTTCATTTTTAGAAAACTATATGATGACATAAACATATTTTAAAAAATTTAATTAGTAATTATTTTTATAAATTAGTATTTTAATTTCAATATAAATTAGCTAGAAATTGATTTGAAAAAGATTCGAAATTGAGTTTTTTTTAGTAATTTAGGGATTGCTATTTATTTTTTTATTATTTTATATTGGCAAGTAGTTTGCTTGTCAGCTTTTTCTTTTTTTCTTTTATATCTTTGTGAAGCTGTTGTCTTGAAAAGCCCTTTTCAATAATTGGTGGCTGCTTGCTAATAATCATCGATGATTAATGCTTTTTACGTGGGCACCTAACTGCATATTAGCGTTTAAGATGGTACTCCAGCTCAAGTGACCACAAATCTATAGTTAATATCATTAAGCAGATATTGATTTATGCTAATTTGTTATTTATTCTAATACCTAAACAACATTTGTTCATATCCTTTTTTGTTATTTCTCATTTAACAGCTAATTGAATAATTATTTTTACTAAATAAACAACTAAGCTGTAGTAGCTGAATTGTCTAAATAGGGTCATGGCTCAATCAATGGACCAAATTAATTAAATAAGAGTTTTTATTGAAAAGATAATTCTTCTAATCATATAGTCGGAAAAAAATGATAAAATAGGAATAAATTTTTAAAAAAATTCATATTTTTAGTAGTTTGGTTCATAAATGCATCCATGTACCTAATTTAGTTAAGTATTTTCTATATTTAATCGCTAACGATTAGTAAATTAAAACAATTAGCATTTACTAAAATAGCTACTATTATCGAACATGGACTACTGGCTCACTCACGACGACTCTTGGAGCAGCCTATCCTTTTGAGCTTTGTTCTCCATTTTAAAAATCTAGCTTGACCATGAGTGCTTTTCCGATGAAATTAAACATGGACTAATAATTTGATTTGGTCTTTTTCCAAATTTTGTTGGGTTTTTCTGTTCAACGACATGTGATATTAGAAGAGTCTCCATTTCTTACGTTCTCCTCTTTTCTGAGTCTATAAATACTCATTTTAGTTTCTGAACTTTTGACATACAAAGATATTTTCTGCTATCCCTAAACACAAAACACATGTTTACGTTACTGATGTCGTCTCTTAGGTCTCTGTTATCTTCGCATTTGCGACGTTTAATTCATGAAGATTTCCATGCAGTTGTTGCTAAAATGACTATCATTGACACTTTTCTTTTCCTCGTAAGCTACTTATTAATTATCCATTAATCACTATTAATCTTTTTCATAGTTATTTTGTGTCTAATTTTAAAAATTTATTTTCATGCAGATTGTGCACTCCGTCGATAAGCTAGGGTTATGGCCTAAGTTACCTGTGTTTTTAGGTCTTTTTTATTTGGCTATACGCCGGCACCTGCACCAGGAGTATAACTTATTAAATGTAGGCAGAACTCCGGTTGGCGTTCGCTTTAATCCGGCGGATTTTCCTTATAGAACAGCTGATGGACAATTCAATGATCCCTTCAATGAAGCTGCAGGCAGCCAAGGAACTTTCTTTGGCCGGAACATGCTCCCGGTTGTCCAGAAAAATAAGGTATACATATAAATGCACTTCACTTTGAAGCCTAGCAGCTTCTCACAGATTATATTGGTAGCTTAAATTGATGATGCCCTTTCTTGGTTAAAGAAAAAAAAAAAGGTTTTTCCAGTTTGAAGAGTATTTTGAAATAAAAATTTAAAATTTAAAATTCCATTTTTGAGAAAAAAAGGATGGAATTGAGAAATCTCATGTGTAAATATATTTTTTCCCTAATGGAATTGCAAAAGTGAAATAAATAAGTACCAAATTCTAAACATAGGCATCTCACTTATGTCCAAATTTTCTGTCCGTTATTTTTCTTTTTAAAAAATTAACTTAGTAAAAATATTTCATGAAAATAGAAAATAAATGAATTGTGAAAAAATTACCTCAAAATTGCTTTTTCTCTCCCTGTTCTTAAAGGTAAAGTTTGAACAAATAACTCTTTTTTTTTTTTTTTTTTTTTTCCAAATTTCTATAACATAGGCATCTTCACTTATGTTCCAAATTTTCTTGTCCGTTTATTTTTTCTTTTTTAAAAAATTAACTAGTAAAAATATTTCATGATAAATAGAAATAAATGGAATTGTGAAAAAATTACCTCCAAAATTGCTTTTTCTCTCCCTGTTCTAAAGGTAAAGTGTTGAACCAAATAAAACTCTTTTTTTTTTTTTGTCTTTTTTTTTTGGACGGATTTTTTTTTTTTTTTTTTTTGACGGAGACATAAGAGTAAGATTCAGAGTTCTTTTCAAAAACATGTCCAATAAATAATTTAGCTAAATATATATTTCCCAAAAAAAAGTTAATAAATATGATTATTAAATAATGAATTAATAATAATTATACACTTCAAAATTTTTGATAGTGATTAATATTACTGTGCATTTAATTACAGCTGACGAAGCCAGATCCAATGGTGGTAGCGACAAAACTTCTAGCTCGGAGAAAGTTTATTGACACAGGAAAGCAATTCAATATGATAGCAGCTTCTTGGATTCAATTCATGATCCATGATTGGATTGATCACTTGGAGGATACCAACCAGGTTTATTGCACTTTTCGTAACCCATATGTGTGAATTGTGTGTTTTTTATTTAATCAATAAAAAATAAATTTTATTTTTGTATTTTTTTTTAAGTTAATTGCCTTTGACTAAATTTAAACTTAACAAATTTCTTAAATATGAGATTAATATTATTTTGGGATTCGTGATTCTTTTTTATATATAAGTATTTTTCTACGTATTAAATCCTTGAGCTCTTTTATAATTATTGTATTGTCAATTATAAATATGGGGTTAATCCTTTTAGTCCTTGCTGTTTCAGCCATTTATAATTCTTGATTTTCTCATGCCCTTACATATGTTTTTCAGCCATTCATAATTTAGGGTTAGGAACTTTATTCTTAATCCTACGCTGGCATCTGTAATTGATGGAGGATATCAGCTAGGGTTTAGTTTAGAGTATTAAAATCATATATTTCAATTACAATTAGAGATTAATCATTAAAAAAGTTTAGTTTTAGCATCATATATAATTATGATTAGTTTCAAATAATTTGATGATTATTCTTTTTTCTGACAATTCTAAAAAATATATTTATTCAGAAATATATATATATATTTTTTATTTCTAATTAGTGAGGAAGAAAAATCCTTATTCTTACTATCATTGCCAACTACACTAATTGATTGGTCAATTGTTTTATTTTTTAAAGCTACGCTGTAAATTTTGTTATCTAAATCAATTTTTATAATCATATTTCATTTTAATTTGATTTTGCGATTATATATTTACTCAACAACAGAAGTATGCTATTTACTGATTCTAGCCAGATTACCTCTTCTTTTTTTTTTTTTTTTTAATGTTTTTTTTTTTTTTTTTAATTTGGAAAAATGTATGTAATCAAGCATTTGAGTTTTTCCTTAGCCAATTTTTTTTTTTTTTTTGTAGTGGAATTATATTACACGATTTGCAGCTGACTGCCCCTACAGAAGTTGCAAGTCAATGTTCCTCTTAGTTCTTTCAAGTCTACAAGAACAAAAGGAAGTTCCCACGGTGGCTTTTATGATATAAAGACTGTGTACTTTTGAACACCCGCACCCCTTTGGTTGGTAAGAAACACTTTCCTATATATTTATATATATATATATTATATATATATATATATTATATCTATTTTATATTATATCTATTTTATATTTCAGATCGTTGAAAGTTTAACCCATCATTAATTCCTTCTTAAAATATTTTCATACATGTAGTAGAAAATAGTTTATAGATATAATAGAAAGATTGAAAAGCAATTTCGATGCTGTGCAGGGATGGAAGTGCTATATATGGAAGCAATGCAGAAAGATTGCACAAGGTAAGAACATTTAAAGATGGGAAGCTCAAAATTTCAGAAAATGGACTTCTCCTTCATGACCAAGATGGAATTGCTCTATCGGGAGATGTTCGGAATAGTTGGATTGGTGTTTCCACCTTGCAGGCCCTCTTTATCAAGGAGCACAATGCAGTTTGCGATGTTCTTAAGGTAACAGAGATTATTATATATAACGAGAGATTATTATTATACGCACTATATGGCGCCTGATAGTGATATAAAGAGTATAGTTAGTAGTAGCAATGGCATATTTTTTTAATATATGGGTTAAATTTATAGAGTGATCCTCCATGTGACTTGGAATTCTTCCTCAGTTTTTGTTTCTTGATTTTGCCTGAAGGAGATATCCAGATTTGAAGTGATGAAGAAGAGTTATAGCAGGCGGCTATGCAAGATTTCGGTACAGTCTCGCTGTAGATTTGCGAAGAGCCTTGCACACCAATATGAGTAGCGTGGACCGTGACTTCTGAAAACATGAATACACGGGTGTTATTGCCAGGAAACTGCGCGCAATGGTAAACTGTGAAGTTTTATCGTTAATTTCAATAAAGAATAAGATTTCAGACAAAGTATAGGTCGTGTTAGTACAGTGTATGAATGATTAATAAGAAGATTGAGAATATATACACATTTTTTTAATATAAAATTATAGATGACCTCCATTGACTTGGATTCTTCCTCATTTTTGTTCTTGATTTTTCAGAAGGAATATCCAGATTTAAGTGATGAAGAGTTATACAGGCATGCAAGATTGGTAACATCTGCTGTAATTGCGAAGATTCACACCATTGATTGGACCGTCGAACTTCTGAAAACTGATACATTATTGGCAGGAATGCGCGCCAATTGGTAAATTAATTATCTATTTCTAAGTAAATTCAGCAATATATATACATGTAAAATTAAAGAAATTAATAACTGGTCTTGGGTTCCAAAATATGTTTTAGGTATGGATTGCTGGGAAAGAAATTTAAGGACACATTTGGGCACGTTGGAGGAGCCAGTTTAGGAGGTCTCGTAGGTTTAAAGAAACCAGAAAATCATGGTGTCCCATATTCCTTAACTGAAGAATTTGTGAGTGTATATAGAATGCACTCACTTATGCCTGATCATCTGGCCCTCAGAGACATTTCAACTACTCCTGGATCCAACAAATCTCTCCCATTAATCAAAGAGTATGTATCTCACCAATTCATCTTTTTTTTTTTTTTTTTAAATTCATCGAGAGGTTCAATGCGTCGAAATAACACTGCGAGCTGTCAGACCATTCCTGATTGACTTATCATTTTTTTTCTTTTTGAAAAAATTTTTTCTAAACTGACTGTGTATGAACAGGATCCCTATGGAAAACCTGATAGGCCACAAAGGAGAGAAGGTTTTAGAAGAGATTGGATTTACTAAACAAATGGTTTCAATGGGTCACCAAGCTTCTGGAGCCCTGGAGCTCTGGAATTATCCCATGTGGCTAAGGGATGTTATACCACAGGACATCAATGGCCATGATAGGCCTGATCGTGTGGACCTACCAGCTCTTGAAGGTATGTAAACTGATCATAGCCATTTATTCAATTAATTGATTTTCCAATGACCATATGACAAGGAATTTATACCTATGTTTTTCGAATAACGCAGTTTACAGGGACAGGGAAAGGAATGTTGCAAGGTATAATGAGTTCCGTAGGTCAATATTGTTAATACCCATATCCAAATGGGAAGATCTGACGGATGACGAAGAAGCAATTCAAGTACTGAATGAGGTGTACGGTGATGATGTGGAAGAACTTGATCTTCTAGTGGGCCTTATGGCAGAAAAGAAAATCAAAGGATTTGCCATTAGTGAGACTGCTTTTATCATATTCCTTGTAATGGCAACCAGGTAATTGGCTAATAATTAACATAAAAGAAAAATAGATAATGACAAGCAAAGAGATTAGAATCAATTTTTACTCGTCGTCTCTTAATATATCACTACTGCATATTACCGTTAGAGATGACAATTTCGAACCCTTTGAAGGAATTCATAATCTATTTTAAGAATAATCTTAAAATTTTATCGTATTAAAATTTCGATATGAAAAAAGAAAAAAATGTTGTTAATTAGATGCTAATTAATAGTTGTTTTGAATTGTTATGTGGACTTGGTGATTTGCAGGAGGTTAGAGGCTGACAGATTTTTCACAAGCAATTTCAATGAGGAAACATACACAAAGAAAGGATTTGAATGGGTAAATACTACAGAGAGTCTAAAAGATGTATTAGATCGTCATTACCCAGAAATGACAAAGAAATGGATGAACTCTGCAAGTGCTTTCTCTGTTTGGGATTCACCTCCTACTGCTAAAAATCCTATCCCAATCTATTTTCGCGTTCCAAAGTAGTTTTTTGCATTTTAAATAAAATGGTGGTGAAGAAAGGTATATACATTTGTGTATATATGTAGGATTAACACCTCACCAGCCATCCACAGTTCTATCAACTGAATTCCCTTATTTGTTTTTTTTTTTTTTAAGAGAAATTTCCTTATTTGTTGTATCATGAAATACTCTCTGTATTATTTGAAATACTCTCTGTATTATTTGATTAATAAATCGATGAAGGATTAATTGCAAATTTGGTCTATCAACTTTTTCGAAATTTTCTATACTGATATCTGAACCAAAAATTCTTGTATTTAACTGGTTGAACCAGTTATAAAATTTATAGTCAAATGAACTTTTCCTAGAAAATAGGAATTTACGTTAGGAAAAATAATTATTTATAGTCTATAAAGTTTTATAAAATTAATTTTCTTCTTCTTATATTTTTGTATATTAGGTATTTAGTCCCGGTAATTTTGTTCCATCTCATTAAAAAGGTTCTTTTGTCCAAAATCCATGGCTTTTGCCGTTAAAAGAGTGAAAAGACAATTACCCTGGAGCAGAAAAATAAAACAAAATTGTTCCTCATTATAAGAAAACTGTAGCATAGATCTGATTTATGAAGTTTAACTTATCAAAATATGTCCAAAAGAGATGTTTTTTCAGAAATCCAAAGGAGTTACTGAGAATTTCCATTTTGTTTCAAAGATTGAAAACAATTACAATGAGTTGGTTGTTGAAATGTAATTTATTGAGTCAAACCCACAAGAGGTTCAAAGTCAAAATCAGAATTTTTAGCAAGGTTTAAACCCATAAAAAACCTTTAAAAAAAAAAAAACCGTAAAAAGAATAACAATTAGAAATATAAATTCATAATCACGATATTAAGGCAAAAGATTGCATTATAACCGATAATCAAAACAGAAAATTGCTTTGAAAGGAGTTTAGAACTAAGATTAACTAAAGTTAACTGAGATTAACATCCAATGGAATTGAAAAATCTCAAAATGAATAATCAGGTCCAATTTACAAAAGAGTTCAGCAATACATAATATCAATAAATAGCAAAGAAACAACAACGAATAACAAAATTTTCTGAACCAGCTGTAATAATAATAAAAAAAAAACACAAATTGCAAGCGCCGGGATTTATTTAACTAGAATTTCAGAAATTACAAAAAGGTGAGCAAAATTACCAACAGAAAAAAACCCAAAAGAGAAGAAAAAATTAGAAAGAAAAAATTAATATAAAAGTCAAGGACAATCATTATCTCACGTCGAGTTATTTATGAAAAGACCCGTCTGCATGCATAGACAACTTTATGTTGCTCTTTCAAGGGTGAAAAGTAGAAATGAATTAAAAGTTTTAACTTATGATGATGATGAGGGGCAAATTAAAATGAAGCTACAAATATAGTATATAAAGAATTTTTGCCTAATCTAATTTAAATAGGTATTTTAATTTGTAGTTTTCAATTAAATAAAATTATTTATTATTTTTTAAATGATGTTATTTTTTAATTATGTTATAGAGATTATTTTATTATTTAATATTGCTTATAACATCAGGGTTTATAGTTTTGTGTCTTCTCAAAGGAGAAATTTGATGTTTCTTCCACGGATATTGCTTACAAAATCATTGCTAAGTCAGCTGATCACTCAATGTGAGTAATTTGTGTGCATATGCAGGCTGGCACATGAATTTGCCTATTTAGGTCTTTGGCTAAAATTCTTTGTGAGCAAATTTATGCTCTAAAATTATTGAATATATATGTGTTTATAGGCAGCTACACCTAATAAGTTTTCTATGAGCTGTTATTTTTACCGAAGGGTTAATAATTATATAAGAAATTATTGTTTATGTATTTTCTATGAATTGTTATTATTAATTTTATAGGAAAGTAACCGAGTTTGGCTCACTATGGTTCATGCCATATTTTGGGTCCTAAGTAGTATTGTTTAAAGCAAGTTATATTATATATGGCTTTTGCTATTGCATACCTTTATAAAAGGTTTCGCGGGATACTTAAAAAGGTACATCTTAGCATTGCAACTATTTTAACATCTTTCAATGAGATACAATTTTATAATACATTTCATGATCATTTTATTATACAATTATATTATTTTTTAATGATGTATTAAAGATTATTTTATCCTTTAATATTGCTCTGCACATCTCGTAGGTTCTAATACTAATGGAATTAAAGCACATATCTCCTTTATTCTCTCTTTTTTAAAGCCTTTATTCTCTTTTATTTTTATTTATTGGAAGGTCTAATGGATCGAAATAATATTATAAGTTATATAACAAGGGCTAGTCTTCCCTTGACTCACCAAATTAATGAAAAATTTTGTGGTCGAGAGAACTCAAACTCGAGATCTCCCACTTCTCACATGATTATTAAATCTCAAGGTCTCCATGAATCGAACTCGAGAGATCCCCCACTTTTAATTGAGAAGACCCACCAGACTACACATGATTGACTTATTTTCTTTTATTTAACCTTTCTCCTTTCACTTTATTTAGTATTTAATCGTTAAATATATATAATTCTCCTGAATATAGACATTGTTTGGCTCAAAATTACGCATTTCCTGCGAAGGAAGTACATTTCCAAAGAAATTATTTCCTACAAAGTATAATTTGAATCTATTTGGTATGTAAATCAACTTCCTAAAAGTAAATTGCTCTCAATCTACAAATTACAATTGTATTCATGATATATATTTGAGTGTATTTAGATAATATGATCAAATTTTACACTTAAACTAGGGAAGTGCAGCTTCTTTAGTCATCTCTAAAGAACTTACTTCTCTTTTTTGAGGGAAATTGAATGAACTATTTCGTGAGTAGAATTGATAATCTACTTCATGGAAAGTTTGACGATATACTTCGTTAATGATCTAAAATCGCAAATATTGGAATAAACGACAAATGAATGTAACAAACTCAAACTACGATGAGTATGTCAATCTTTTTTCAAAAAACAAAGATAAAATAATTATTTTTTGTAAATAATACAAGTAGGATTATAATTTGCCCTTTTTATTATAATGGTCAAAGACTAAAAAATAAGTTAAAGAGAAAATAACATATATTATTTCTTTCTTCATATTAATTTATTTATATTTTTAATCAAACTTAATTCGTATCAATTATTTATATATATTTAAAGTTTTCTTTATTTATTTTTATCATTTATTATGAATTTTTAATTTATCAAAAAAATAAATATACTAATAAGTAAAATCACGCAATTATTTATAGTCTACAAGTGAAATATAATAAATAACAAATAAAATAAATTTTAAATATAATAATCTAAGGAGAGTAGTTTGCTTTATATAGAAGTCGAATGAAGTAACATAATTTGTCACTCGTCAGTCTTTTGAATTATAGAATGACAAATATTAGAAACATAAATAGAAAACGAAAAAAAAAAAAAAAAAACTTCATGAAAGTTTGACGATATACTACTGATCGTTAATGATCTAAATCGCAAATATTCGTGGGATACAACGACAAATGAATTGGTAGCATACTACAAAACTACGATGAGTATGTCAATCTTATTTTCAGAATAACAAAGATATTAAGCAATAAATTATCTTTTTTGTAAATAATACAAGTAAGGATATAATTTGCCGCTTAATATTATAATGGTCAAAGAGCTAAAAAATAAGTTAAAGAGAAAATAACATATATTTATTTTCTTCTCTTCATATTAATTTATTTATATTTTTAAATCAAACTTATATTTCGTAATCAATTATTTTATAATATATTTTTAAAGTTTTTACTTATTTATATTTTTTTTTTTTTTTATTCAAAAAATTTTTTTTTAATTTATTTGTTTTATAAAGATTTTTGAAAAATATTTTTAATTTACAAATAATATACTAATTAGAAGTAAATATCACGGGCAATTAGTTTTTAGTCATACAGTGAAAGTATAATAAATAACCAAATAAGATAAATTGTTAAATAGTGGAATTAATGCTAAAGGAGAGTAGTTTGCTGTTATAGTAGAAAGTCGAAATGAAGTAGACATAATGTGTAGCAGCCTCGTCGAAGAGTACTTACTGTGAATTATGGAGATGACAACATATATGAAGAACATAAGATACGAGAAAGCGAGAAAAAAAAAAAAAGAACAAAAGTTCATACAAGTAATTTTATGATCAACGTGGTTTGTGCATGTCCTCAAGAGTTGATATTATATGGTAGGAATGTATTTTGGTTCATTTCTCGAAAAGTAGCTTTAGTGAATATGTTTAATATAGAAAAAAAAAAAAAAAAAAAAACAAAAGTTCATACAAGTAATTTATATCAACGTGTTTGTTCATTCCTCAAGATTGATATTTTATGTAGATGTGTTTGTTCATTTCTCAAAATGCTTTTGTTAATTGTTTAAATATAAGTTGTTATTCAAATCTCTAAATATGACACTTGAAGAACAAGTGCATAAATTCTGTATTCTTTAATTAATTGCAGAAATCTGATTGGTTTAAATTATAGCTTTTACAAATTGATTTCATCAATGAGCTGAAGGGATGTATGGTGCATTTGTGGCAAGTTCCAAAACATGATAACTCAAACAGTGCATTCTCTCTGGAGATGGTGCTACAAGATGAAAATATTTTTTATTAAATATCTCTTGATATACTACATGTTATCCTTTGATATTCTACAAGAGGATTTAACAATGATATTTGAATGATATATTTCAATGATATTTCTACAGTTAACTAAAGTAATCTATGTGTGTGTACATATAGGACTATTTATACTACATATTGTCTTTTGTATACTTCCTAATTTATCATTTATTCATATGCTACTTTTTTAAGAGTCTGTATGATTGTATAGATTGAGAAATCAAAACAATCTCTTTAATATAAATGTTTATCAATTTGTTTGATTTTTTTGACACGTTATGGAATATAAAATATCTTAACATTGCAACTTTTTCGGCATATCAAAATGAGATATAATTTTATAATACATTTTATGATCATTTTATTATACAATTTTGTCATTTTGAATGATGTTATAAAAGATTATTTCATTCTTTAATATTGTTCCGCACATTGCGCGGTTCTAACACTATTTCTATTAATTTTTGGATTTGATAGCATGGTCAAATTATTAGTATGCACTTAATACAAAATACTCTAATAACTTTTTAATTATTTTAAATTTGCATATCTCAAATATCATATTTCTAAATGTATAATTGTGACGTCCACTAAAATATAATTTGATATTTAAAGAAAATTTAAAATATTATCTTTATTGTTAATTTTGTAAAACGAGTGAAATATTTTTTTATGTAAAATTTAATTTTTAATTTTAGTTAAGGGTGTTACTGCTATAAAAAGTTGAAATTGAAGCAAAATTGATATAAAAGTTTCAAATGGAGTAAAATTGCATAAGGTTACAAAACCCGGGATATCTTGATATATTAGGCAATTGGAAATTGTCCCAAAAATGAAAAGGATTTATTTTTTAATAAAAAAATATAACCTGACAATACATTTTGATTTAAATATCCTCTCGAGTTTGGGAAAAAAAAAAAAAAAACTTTAAATTTGAATATTGTTGATATAGGCCTAAATCTACTAGTTGGGTCTAATAATAATTGATCCAGCCCAGTAAAGCGCTTTGAAAGAATGGGTTATTAGGCTTAAAAGGTCTTGGAGAAGAGCAGAGTCCACATATCTAAGGGTGGCCATATTACGGTTTCGGGAACCGGAACCGTCGGTTTGAACCGATCCTGAACCGTAACTAAAACCGGTGAGAATCGGAATTGGTCCAAACTAGAGATTTTCAATTCGGTTCTGATTTCAGTTTTGATGGAACCGCAACCGGCGGTTTCAACAAACCGGTCGGAACCGGATGGAACCACCGGTTAGAACAGCCGGTTCTAGCCGTTAGAAACTGTCAGGTTTTTTTTTTATTTTGTTGTGAAATCTCTTTAAAAAATAATTAAGTTCAAGTCTTTAAATGGAACCGCAACCTGGCCGGTTTCAAGCACTGGATCGGGAAACGGATGAACCACCGGTTAGGAAGCAGGCCGGTAGTGCTAGCCGTAGTAGAAAACATGGTCGGTTTGTTTGTTTTACTTGTTGTTTGTGAAATTCTGCTTATGAAAGATATACAATGTATGAGTTTCAAGGATACTTTAAAAAACATAAATTTTAATTGAAGCATTTTGTTAGATATTTTTTAGGTAGTATTAATTTCCGTTTATATTACTCAAAATACTAACTTTCACTAAATTTAAGATTAAGATTTATGGAAAGACCGGATTTTTTTAAAAGTTGTAAATTTGAAGATTAGTGCGGATTCTGCCGGAAAAACTCGCGGCTCGATGAAAATTGATCCGAACGGTTCGCCATGTTCTTTAGGACTACCAATACAGTAGACCGGTAACCGAACGTTGGGTAGGGTATTCCAAATCTGGAACCAGGCAGCGGAATATTTTTCAGGCTCGATTTACGGAAGCCGTGGCCACCCTAACGATATCGTTTTTAAAATTATATTAAAAAAATAAATTTAATTGAAGCATTTTTTAATTTTTTAGGTGTATTTTTTTTTACAAATAACTTTCACAAATTTATTAAATTTTGAAAACCGATTTTTAAAATTTAAAATTTAAAATTATGCGATTTGCCGAAAAATCGGTCGAAAAATCGATCGGAACCGTCGGTTTTGACACCATACTAGAACCGGAACCGAAACCGTTCGGTTCCAAATCGGAACCGGAACCGGAAATTTTCAGCTCGATTCCGGAACCGTGGCCACCCCTACACATATCGTTTTTTAAAATTATAAGAATTGAACAAAATTATAAAAATGTTAAAATTCATTTTTTTTTGGTCATCTGAACTGAAAACTTCAGATTATCTCATTCTAATTATTGATGATAAAAATTTAAAATATTTATATCAAATTATATATAATAAAACATTTATAAAAAACATTGAAAAGAATTTTTTTTATTCACTTTTCTTTATTTTAATAAAATTATTTAAAGCAGTATAAATAGAAATGCATAATTGGCATTTGATATTTGAAAAAAAAAAAAAAGCAAAATGGTGGTTGGTAAGCCACAATTCATAAATAAATAAATAAATAAATAATAAAAATTACAAATTAAAATTAATTAAAAAATAATTATTATTTTTAATTATTTCTCCCTCTCCTCTTCAAATATCACCGCACAAAAGAACTGTATCCGTGGGAGAAACCTACAGACAGTAGACATTCGCCATCATTTTTCCTGCCTTCATTTTTTTTTTTTTTTTTTGTTAAATATCAAAAACTCCTCCTTTCAACATCTCTTTCTTTATTCCCTTTGTCTCTTTCAAATGAGCCCGTAAAATCGACCCACCATTGCACATGCTCTTCTTGCTGCCCATCTCTCTTCCTTTCGATCTCTCTCTAAACTGGCCTCTCTTTTTAATTGTCTTACACATTTCTTTACCTCGTTTTAGCTTTTAATTACTTCAATTTCAACTGGGTGTCTTATATTTTGTGCTGATCCCATTTGCAATTTCTAGGGTTTTCTGCTATTTTCTCTTTCTGGATCGTTCCAATTTCCAACTGAGGTTTTTGCTTCTCTCGTGTTTGTTGTTAGGTTTTAGTTTAATTTCACATATTAATTACTTGTTTCTATATCTGTGTAGTCTTTTGGATCTTAAAATTCGTTTCTCTTGTTAACAGTTCTTCTATACTTGAAATTATTCTGTTTGAAGTAGTTCTTAATTGTTCATTCAATGTCACAAGGCTATGCAATTCAGCTCTATTTCGATCCGGCCCTTGAAAACCAGGTCTTGAAGGCCTGGAACGTGCTTGCTCGACGCCAAATCAGTACCCAACTCATCGAAATCGAGTCTCGCCCTCATATAACCCTCTATTCAAGCTTATTTGTTGATCCCACAAAGCTTGAAGCAATTGTCAAGACCTTTGCTTCAAAGCAGGAGCCATTACCCTTATCTCTCTCTGCAATTGGGGCACTTCCAAATGACAATAATGTCCTTTTTTTAGCTCCTACGCCTTCAGTTTCACTTCTTCATTTTCAATCTCAGCTATATGATGCCTTGAAGAAAGAAGGATGTGATATTAGTGAAGAGTACCGCCCTGACTCGTGGATTCCGTATTGTGCAGTGGCTCAAGATGTGCCAAAGGCAAGAATAGGAGAGGCATTTTGCGTTTTAAGAGACTTGAAGTTGCCAGTTACCGGATATGCAATGGATATTGGGTTGGTGGAGTTCTCACCGGTTCGTGAAATATTCTCCTTCCCGCTTGATAATTCAGTAGAAGGATGACGGTTTTTCACTTTCTATTTTTTATTGATGATATTGTGCTGTTATATTGTATTACTTTGGAAATTTTAGATTTATAATTTGATGTGTTACTTTTTACATATTTTGGTTCTAATGTAGGTTCATATGAATGGTGATAGTTTAGAGCATGGTAAAGAATTTGCATTTTGTGTTTATGAGCGTAATTTAGAAATGGTAGTAGTTTATCTTTCTTTTTTTTTTTTTTCCAGTTTGGATTAGGGGACAACATATTTTGTCAGATTTTGAGATTGTTTTCCGCTCTTTTATGTATATATTTTTTATGCACTTCATGTTCTATATCACTTAACATGTGTGCTCATTTTCTTCACTAATAGTTAGTGATCAATGTGTTATTTTTTGCTTTAGGGTAATTTCGAGTTCTCCACCCATTCTTTTATTTAATTTGGAGAAGAATTTGTTTTTGAAACGTCAGTTTTTAAGATGATTGTATCTCATTAAGAAGCTGCATTTTCTGTCAGATGAGTGCAGGGTGCTTCTTTAAATCCGGATTTTTATGTTCCTAAAACTGTTCTTTGCCTTTCTAGTGGGGTTCATGTTCTTTATTTATTTGTTTTTATTTAATTAATGACATGAAAAGAATTCACTGCAGGGTAAAAGAAAGAACTAGGGAATCATTTGCATGATAGGGCATTCAGAATATCTGAAACAGCCAAATTGTAGATAAGATATTATCCCTTGTACCTAAGCAGTACACTTTTTAAATCTATATATAAGAGCAGAGAGGGTTATCTCTCTTCCAACGGCTATTATTACTTATTTCAAGCATCATATTCTAAAGTAGAGTTGCAATGCTAACTTAGGTGCAGGTTTTGTTCACTGCTTAAATCAAATATGTAATCCCTCCTGAAATTGGCCGAGTATTGGTGCCCTTTCAATTGTGGAAGCTTGGTTTGGTCTTGTGTTTGATTTCAAGAACAGGTAATTGTCTGTTCAAATCGAATAATCCCAAATATCAAATATGCTTCTTTGTGTGGTTTAGAAGCTTGGTTTGGTAGTGGGTCTAATTTTTTAGAACTGAGCATGGCCAGTTGGGATCTAGAAATTTAAACAACCAATTCAATCTGATTCAGCTTTTCATATTATGATGGTGGTATTTTTTATGTCTTTGTAATGGGATTGGCATGCTGGAATCCATTTTCCCACGTCGATCAAGATGGAGTCAGTACATTTGAGGCATCCTGTAGGTGGTCTCTGCGCACATCCTGTATTTGGTATAAATGTAGCAGGAGCAAAGCTAATTGTGCTATGATCTTGATACTAATTATTTTTTTATCAACCTGCTTTACAGATATTCTTGCATTGCCTTGTACACATACCTCATAATTAGGATCACTTTTAAGGTAAGCTTGGAAAACCTGTTTTTTAAGCTTCATAAACCGGTGGTATCAATCACTAAAATTCAATTTGATTACTTTATATTATATTTCATTGCAGCTTATCAAATGTAGCTTATGTTCTTTTAAATTGTCTACGTTTGAAGTTTCTTGCTAGTTAGCACTTCATACAGGATTTGAGAATGAGGGATACAAGATATTTTATATTTATTCTACTTTTCTGTGTTGTTGACGTCTGAACATGCAGTTGCTCCATTTACGTCTACAATTTCTCGTGTCTTGTATTTGGCCATTTGAATGTTTATTTATTTATTTATTTTATTTCATTTAACAGGATGACATTGTTGGACTTCTGAATCCATCTGTTTTTTTTGTTACCCTGGTCATCTGAATTCTTATTTTCCTTGTTAATTTATCGGGTTCGAGACCTTTTAGTTAAATAAGCTACAACCTACAGAATAGAAAATGTTGGGGGATTCAAATATGAGATTTCTTGAAGGAAGTATCAAATTTTAAACGCTAGGCTAGGCTGCTTGTGGGTCATGAAAATGTGAATGGAATACAATTCTTGAATATGATTCTATTGTTTAGTTTGGTCCAAAAGAATCTCATATTACTTGTTATTTTTATACCTAAAAATATTTAAGTATATTTTTCAATTATGAGTTATTTAATGACATAATATTTTTAAGTATTTCTTTTAATACCAATGAATCTTAACATGATATTTATTTCTGTATCCATTGTAATTCTTGTACTTTCCAGCTAAGAATTATGTCCAAAGAAAAAAATTGGACATTTATTACTAGTATATAAAAAACCTGTATACTCTTTCTACCTAATCGCTCTCCCTCTTGATAATATCAACTTAGCCTCCTAAGGACAGCAAGCAACAAATCATTCCACAAATCAATAGGACCAGGCAAGCACCAATGAACACAATCGTTATACCCTTTCATCCATTTATTACCCCAGAAAGCTCCTGGATGCCCATCAGGTCTCATAAGCATAGCTCCGGTTACGTCCATAACACTAAACCTGTTCGCTCGTCTTCTTCCTTTGTTCACCCTTTTGATCTCCTCTACTTGCATGTTTCTTATCTCCCATTCACGAGTTCCATAATCGATCTCCCTTTCGCTGAAAGGAGTTGTTCTATTGCAGCCACCTCCGGTGTTCCAAAACCCATTCTCAAAATGGGATGGTGAAAATGTCCTTAATAAGGTCACCATGCTCCTTTTACATCTTTTGCAGTTGTTAATGTGACTTAATGCAGTTCTAAATGCCATACTAATAGCAAAATTGACTCCTTTATCTGTAATGTTTGGTTCGTTGCAATATACACATGCTATTATATCTGAACCTTCATGTAAGTATAATGGCCTGAAAAACCAATGTCCGTTAGAAATTATAATATAATCTAGAGCGCGTATGTCCTTTGCCCAATTATTGTCGATCTTGTCTAAGTACAAGTCGAAAACGCCGGAGGAAGTTCCGTTGATCATTCTTTCTTCTCCGGTTACTAGAAATTTAGTCCAGAGGATTTTCAGGGTGAAGTCATGGGCAGTAAAATGCCATATTCTGTTCCTGTCTTCATTGTCCTTGTATGCATCTATTGGAACTTCTTCCTGCGTGATGATAAGTTAATTCAATTTGGAAATTCTCCAAGAGGAGAAATTATCAGTATCTTATCTTAATTTTCCTTATATACTATTAAATATATAATCTATTAGTCAATTATTAATTCCAATAAATACTATCTCCATGCATATTGAATATGATTTTTTTTAATATATGATTTTTCACTGTTATGCTTAGCTGTGCAACAGTTTTTCTAAATTCATCAAATTTGATAATTTTTGTGGGTTTAGTTTCAGAATCATGACTTAGGAAGAGCAACTGATCTTTTTGCGTTTCACATTTTATAGTATGTTAATTATACAGTTTTTCTATTTATTTATTTTTAAATTTCAACTGACGGATTATATCATCATCACAAGTATTATTACTTTTCCCAAAATAGCAAATAGCTGATGGTACTGCCAACCCTAACATTGATATCCCAAACCCTTGTTTAGAACTGAACATAATTTTCTTACTTTAGCAGTGCAAAGACACCTAACATGTCAAGTACTTTGCTTTGCCTCCATAAGTTTGTTTCATCCAAGATACTTTGCTTTACCTTTAATGCATAAATTTCAACTTAGTATTTTCCATAATTATTTTTATGACCACCTGAATTTTATCGGTATTAACTATGTCCTTTATAAAAAAAAATTGAGTCATGATTGAACTCCTGAAAAATTATCATTTTGGCGGGATAAAAGTGCTGAGTCAAATTTATACATTAGGTCCCTTGCTTTGAGATGTAATTATTATGCAATAAAATAATAAGAAACAAGATATTGTCTCAAAAAAATAGTTTTGGTACCTAATTGGAAAAATAAGCCTTAATCACATGATTTGCTCAAGGACAAAAAAAAAAAAAAAGAAAGAAAGAAAGCCTTAATTGCAAAATAATAAAGCATGATTGGACCTATACCTAAATTTACTACAAATATGTCAAGAAAACCGTATATGGCAGTATAGTCCCGAAATGGTAAAAAGAAGACAAAATAGCATTCTTATTGCCAATTGCAATTCTCCACTTGTTTGGTTGGGATTTTTAAAAATATTTTTTCACTAATATGGTTAATATACTCAAATATCCTAAGAATTATACAGCCAATGCCAATTAGTTTAGTTTGGAATTAAGATTTAATTGTTGTTATCGCCATTGATATGGTTGTTCAAATTCCAAATGTAATCAAGATAATATTTAGCTAATTAGTTAAGAATTATAAACTATAAAATTGCGAGTTTAAATTTTAATTCCAGAATAATTATTTTGTTTTAAAAAGAGAAACTGACCTGTGATAGGAGACAAAGAAGTGATTCCATATGGTTTCTGGCAACTGAGTCACCAATGAATGCCAATGTTTTCCCTCTAACAATGTCCAGAAAACCCTTTGGATCAAACCTTGGAACGTCGCATTTCTCTGGTTTCCATCTCCAATTCAGGAAATCTATGTCCTTTCTGCCATTTCTAAAGCAATTCTTTGAACTTGGAATTGTTGAACAACTTGAATTTGTATACAAAGACCCTCTAAGGTCAGGTATCCACTTACCTTTAAACAAGTCACAATTCTCTTCCTCTGCAAAATAAAACCAAACAAGTAAATTAATGGAAAAATGAAACAGAAAGAAAATTAAGTAATAGGAAAAACGAAAGAAAAAGAAACAATACCCTCTTTTAGATTGATCAAATGGAGCTTTTGGTTATGGTGATCATCATGTTTAGGAATAATCTTAAAAGGGCTTGGAGAATAAAGAAGGAACAAACTGAAAATGGTGGTTAAACCTAAAGAAGATAACAAGAAAGGAACTATCTTATTCTTCCCCATGCTGATGCATCCGTCCTTTTTGTTATACAAGAAAAGAGAGGAAGAAGGAGGAGAAGAAGAGGAAGAGTACTTCATTCTTTAAGTCTAGTCACAGAAAGAGAGAATTTAGGTTCACTTTTAAATGAAAGAGATTATCAATTTAATCTTAAAAGAATTTCAAAATGGTTAAAAGGAGATTCTACAAGTTTCATGATCAAGGAAAGATAATCAATGGAGGAGATATCTTGTGATAGGAGGGTCAAAAAGATTCTGTCTTCAAACAAAATGTATTTTCAGCCGTTGGATTATGAAATGTGAAAAGATATCAGCATGTGATTGTGTAGTAAAGTGGGACCATCACTAATTAACCAACCTGAATCCACGGCATGATTTTGTCAATATTTGACAAGTACTCGTTTGGCAGTGGTAATGGTGTAACTGCTAGACATACTTTTTTAACTTTAGTCCTCATCCATCATAAAGTATATGATTTCCTGTCTCAAACTCAAATATGTGTTTTGCATGTAATCGATACGACTTATGCCATGTTTGGGAAGGGGAAGGAAGTAAAAAAGGGTGTAAAATGAAACTATTCCCTTCTCAAAATAGAGTGAAAATTAGGCTAGAAGAGTGTAAAATAATTTTATTTTACACCCTCTTTCACATTTTCATCCAAATCAAATAAGGAATTTTGAAATTCCAAGATATTTTCACCGCATATCTTACATCTACTCACATTTTACATCCATCCAAACAAACTATCAATTTTAATATTGGCCTATAAATTTGACCTTGAAATATAGTCAATTATTTTTTTAGTATCTTGAAATTTATAAGAGTTCAATCATGATTATATACTTTCTTATTTTTAGTAATAACTATGTCCTTGTCAAAATGAAACATTTGTTTATTTATAATCTTATACTTTCATATTTCATAAGTATAATTATTATTAAAATGTGAAAATACAAAGTCATAATAAGCTTCCCGCAAAATTCAAGAGATATAAAAATAATCACTGAAAATACATGATCAAATCTATGCATCATGTCTTTTAATACTAAGTTATTTCTTTACTAGTGAATCTCTTATCAGGATAAAATAAGTTAAAAAGGTGTAAAAACGAAAAAAAAAAAAAAAAAAAATGAGACTTTTTGGTTACCTGGTGGATCATCATGTTTAAGGAATAATCCTAGTAAAGTGGCTTTGGAATAAAGGCGAGTAAGGTACAGCTCATGGAGGCAGTATAATACAGAGAGCTGAAATAGGCTGGTTAAAACTAAAGAAAGATAACAAGAACAGGAACTATCTATTCTTGCCCATGCTGATGCATCCCGTCCGTTTTTGTTAGTACAAAGAAAAGAGAGGAAGAAGGAGGAGAAGAAGAGGAAGAGGTACTTCATTTTTTAAGTCTAGTCACAGAAAGAAGAGAATTTAGGTTCACTTGTGTTATTACAATGAAGAGAGAGATTATTCAAGTTGCAATCATGTAGTAAACTGGATGGAATTGTTCAGAAATATGGATTATCAAAGGAAGATTCTTACCAAGCGTGTTGGCATGAGTCAAGGCGGAAAGATAATCACTATGGAGGGAGAATATCTGTGATAGGGAGGGTCAAAAAGATTCTGTCTTCAAAGCATGAATGTAGTGTTTCCACGCCGCATTGGACTAATGAAATGTGAAAAGATATCAGCATGTGATTTGCTTTAGTAAAGTGGACCATGCACTAATTAACGATAGTTATGGAGAAGAGAGGGAGATGAAGACACGGCATAGGTGATAGCCTAAGATGACGGAAGGTTCGTATCCTATAACTTATTAGAGCGACTGCTGAGATTTGGATCAATAGAGTGCAAAGAAAGACAGAGAATGAGAGTCAATCTGTAGGAGTGTAAAATAAGAACAAACTGAAACTTGTCTCTGAAAGAAAAAAAAGAAAGAATAGAGCAAAGCAGATCCAAATGTGGTACTGAATATAACGAAAAGGGTGACGTGTGACGTCGCACAAATAGTGCCCCAACCTGATATCACGGCAATGATTTTGCTCATATGCTGATGCAAGGTACGTACACGTTATGGGCGTGGTACTATGGTGTAGACTGTCTGAGACATACTTTTTTTAAACTTTAGTCCTCATCTCATCATAAAAGTATAATTGGATTTCCTGTTCTCAAAACTTCATATGTGTTTGGCATGGGTGAAATCGATACGACTTATGCCAATGTTGGGAAGAGGGAAATGGAAGTAAAAAGAGGGTGTAAAGAGACTGAAACTATCGCTCTCAAATAGAGTGACAATTAGGCTTAGAAGAGTAGTAAAAATAATGTTATTTTACACCCTCTTTCACACATTATTCAATGCTTCGAATCAAATAAGGGAGATTTTTGAAATTCCAAGATGAGTTTTCACCCGGCATATATTACATCTACCACATTTTTACATGCCAATACCAAAGCAAACTATCAATATTTTAAATATTGGGTCCTATATAAGATTTGACTTGAAATATAGTCCAACGTTATTTTTTTTTAGTATGCTATGAAAGGTTTCAGTAAGAGTTATCAATCAGAGTTGAGTATAACTGTATCTTAATTTTAGGAAATAGATGAGATGTACCTTGTGCAAAAATGAACATTTTGGTTTATTTATAATTCGTTATACTGCGTCGATACTTTCATAAGATATACTGGGGTCTTCCGTAGATTATTATTGAAGAAGTTGGTGAAACATTACGCAGAAGTCATAATAATGCCAGCTTCCGAGATTATTCAAGAGAATACTAAAAATAGATACCTATGATGAGTGACTGCAGTATGTATGAGCGATTCTGCTATTTTGCCTTAGAGTGTGAGACGGATAGAGCTCACGTGATGCACAGAGAGCTTTTAGGTAGGCGGTATTATGAGAGGATCAGAATGCCTGTGTTTGATACTGCTACGTCAGTCTAGCGGTCGTCGTCCGAATAGCTGTTCAGTGTTAAGTCAAATTGGGGCGATGATGAGGCCAGAAGGTAATCTGTTGCCAGCTGTTGATTCGGTTAAATGTGGGTGTCTTGTGTCGACGACGTTTTTCTGCATTTGGATGTTCGATTAAGATGTAAATTCAGTTGGTCTCGCTGTAACGTCGCGCTTCGTAAGGAGGTGTCAGCGTCGTCTGCCGACCTGACCGGGCTTTTTCGGTTATTTTGTTTGTCTGTGTCTTTGACGTTCTGCTTGGTTCTGTTCTGGCCACTCTGCTGAGTAGTGTAGCTATTCCGATTTATGTCATGTTATATTGTGCGGTTATTGAGCTTCGCGCGGTATCAGTCCGGTGGCGGATGGTAGCGTAAGTTTGATAGTCATTCGTGTGGGAAGTGCAGCGGGTAGGGAGGGTCAGTGTCGACCACTAGATTACGGAACGCACTTCCGAGGATGAGACAACAAGAGGATGAACGATCGGCTAGATATTTGAAACGTCGATGACTGCAGGATTCGAGTGGAACGCGCGGCGAGAGGCCGTTGTATGTATTGGTCCAGGGTTGGCATGCCTTACCTGACGCAGATTGCACTGGAGTCTGTAAGCATCGCTGCGGCATGAGTGCTGACGATGACTGTGCTGCAGCATATGAGGATGTAAGATTCGATAGTCAGAACTCCTATAGAAGCACGGACGGCGAGCCTGTACCTGATGCGGCGTGATCAGTCGCGTTTGAAGGGGGCTTACTAACATCGACGCTGGTACTGCACTGCGTGCATAGGCCAGGCGATGTACAGGTCAATTGACGCGTCAGCCTATCCCCCCGTCAGCGGACGGGAGCGCTAGTCAGTACGCAAGATATAGGCGAGTCTGGACCGCGACCCTGGGCTAGAGCTCTGACCTCGTGGACTCAGCACGTACTGCGCCCCGAATCCGCAGTGGTATGTTTTGCGAGAACCCTCGGTATCAGCTGCCTCGTTCATCACGATACAATCACCGCTCATGACCTGCTGTGATCCCGGTTTGGCCGTGAGCTAGACTGCGATTAGGTAGCTCGTAGTCGGGCATGCAGGGCGTGTGGCGATATCGATGTATGCGACGTCCGGGTATGCGACGCAGTTAGGGTGAAGGTGCTGTGGGAGTTCTGTGTTAGAGACCTGTACTCATGCGATCGAGAGCGGAGCTAGTGATGAATGAGAGCACTGAGTGCAGTGTCGTGCCTCATTACCCCAGTGAGAACTGAGTGTGAGCTGTCGCGGTTAGGACAAGATGGTATTAGTCGTCTCACTGTGGTGTTAGGTGGCGGTCAAATGGAGATGATGAGGAAGATTGATCAGTGATGTAGATCTATCGTGATGTGCGGTGAATGCGGTCTCATCGGATTAAGTGAATTAATGCGAGTTCTCCGCAGCTTGAATGGCTATGATGCGATATGCCACAGGTTGAGATAGGTACGACAGTGACTCAAGTGTAACGGAATACGTACGCGGTAGTTTAGTACGATAACGCACAAGGATTATCGCAGACCTAGCGCGCCTCTAGCGCCAGCGACAACCCAGAAGTTGAGTTGACGTGGCGTTCTTTGTATATGATGGCTCGCGGCGCGGGTGACAGGCGCTAGTGTATCGCTTGCATACGCTGCGATAGATCACAAGGTCGAGTTTGGGAGTCGTCGTGTGGAGTGCATGTGTGAGAACGAGTTGGAATATCCTGTGGAGAGCGCGTGTTGCCGTCCGCGCCGTTGTACTGGGTAGCAGATGCCAGTTCTAGAGAGTAACCAACGAGGCCGACTGCGCTGGCATCTCGCGATGTCTGGCACCGCACGTAGGTAGCCGGAGATGTCTAGGTATCTAGGATTCGATAAGACGCGGAGGCCTGCTCCTATTCGATGAGGCTGAATGGGGCAGGGTCATGACAGAACCAATGCGGGAGATTGGTAAGGGAGTCCCTCGCCGCGTGTTCGAAGCACGAAGTCTGGTGCCTGAACGTAGTCTGACGGTGTGCGAGGAGGAGATACGGTTTGGAGTTGAGAGTCGACGCGAGTGAGGCATCATTGGTCACGCATGGTGTCAACGTTGCTTGCGCCGCCTCCGATCTGTATTTGTCCGGTGACAGGCGTACTACGGATTACGCGTGGTCATGCGTTGCTCTTGGAAAGTTCTTGTTGGATCTGCATGCGTACGTTGAATTCATTGACGAACTCTCATATACCTTGCAAGATGTGTGAGGGCTATCGGGTATCGATCTAGTTTATCAAAGTCTCCGGGCGACAGTGAGCGTCAATGCGAGAGACGGCTTTGCTTACCACTGTGTTAGGTGTGTGGGTGTGATGTGCCAAGTCGGAAGGCGGTCTGGGACCGGAGAAGGCATTACGTAAGGCTGCTTGGGCGTTAGGGATGCGAGATGAGGCTGGGGTCGGTCAGGCCTAGGGCAGTAAGCCCACATGTGATGGCTGTGCGTTCTATTGAAGTGGTTTGACGAGATGCCGGCGACGATGCGGTCGCAGAGGACGCATACTGCTGCACGAGACAGGTAAGCGGGAGGTTTTGGTGAGGATCCCAGACTTGAGTCAGCGGGACGCGGTACGTCGAGACATGCGCCGTTCCAGGCTGGTCCGAACTGGCTGTTGGATGTTCTTCTCATACTGTAGGTTCCGAGTAGCCTCTACAGGTGTGGGAAGACTAGATGATGAGAATGCGCTGGGGATCTCGTCTGTGTGGATGCTGGCCAGTAGGAATAGCTGACCTGCTGAGGTCATTTTGTTGGACTGTTTCACTCGCGCTTCTCCCGGACGCTGTGTCTGGCACGAGAGACGACTCAGGGTCTGTGTATTCAAAGTCTGACGCGAGTCGTGAGTGAGTATTGCGTGACAGTAGGAATTGAGATGACTCCTGGCATGGTATGGAAGGATCGGAGATTGCAGAGAGCAGGCAGAGTTGTATTAGATGAACAGGGCTCGGTAAGTGTGGCTTCAGCATGTTACGTGATAATAGCATTTCGTAACGCGACAGGATTGGTCGGCCGTCGGCTACTGAGGTGAAGGTGTGAAATAGTGTTCGCGATGTTCAGTGTCATGATGAAAATGGCAGCGTGAATTTGAGGGAACCGACGAGACTACCATGAAAGAGCCGTCGGACAGATCGGAGCATGGCGGGCAGAATGGGCGGCCGGCAGTGACGTAGTTGGCACCAATGTGATGTTGAGGCGATAAACCATGATCAAAATCGTTGCCATCTGTCTTTTAATCGGATACTAAGTTAATTTTTTACTAGTGAATCTCTTATCAGGATAAAGATAAGTTAAAAAGGTGTAAAAACGAAAAAAAAAAACAAAAAAGAAGGAAAAGAGAAGTAATTATTCCCTTCGACGACAATATTTGCATATAATGACATTCATAAATTTGAAATCAATTACAATATAAATTTTTTAACAAATTATTCGCATTTTTTATTTAACCATGCGGCTTAATATATATATATATATATTTTTTTTATTCTTATGTATATTGCCGAATGGACATATTCACACTGCTGAGAGATATATATATATATATATTTTTTTTTTTTCTATGTATATTGCCAGAATGGACAATATTAATGCTAGAGCATATTTTTCTATGATATTAAAATTTACAGAATTAATCACCAATCTAATTAAATCTAATATCTTTTAGTTTCCTTTTCAATTCCTTTCATAAATATTTTATTTCCTTTTTCAATTATTTTCTATAAACACTTCTTTCCTTGTCTTCATAATCAACTGTCAACTTCTTGTATTATAACGAAAGGATATTCTTTGTTTTAATACATTCCAATGTCACCAATTCGTGTTAATAAATATGTTGTCCATTTTCAAAATCAATTGAAAACCATTGGGAGAAATCAAAAATAAATAAATAAATAAATAAAATTTAGTTTTTGGGATGCAGGCATGACTGAAATTCTTTAGAGATTTTGGAATATATTAAGGAATTTTTATACATTTGGCTAAAAAAGAAGAGAGACAATGAGTATATATATAACAATCAACAATGCACAAATTGAATATCCGAAAAGTATATTTTACTGAAAATGTTAAAAAATCTTTATATTCTAATATCCGAAACTTACGCCTCCTGATTATATATATGATTATATATAATGGTGCACAGATATTTGTAAGCTCAGTACGGATATATGATCCATGGTGTGGTTAACAGTCCTTTGGATGTTGTTTGGTCGTTTGCATTGCATGTCGTAATTCAGGAGGAATAAGGAGTAGGACAGGGATGAATAAAACCCATCACTTGTTAATTTCATGTACCGACATTCTTGCATTCTACCAACTATTTAAAATGTCAAAAAAAAAAAAAAAGTTAAAATGTGAAAAGAAAAAAAGTTTCAGCTTTATATATCCTTGGAGGAAGTGAATAGAGTGACACACAGACAGTGATTGCTTGAACCCTACGAACTTGCGGTGCTATGGCTACGGTGTTCTTGTCTCGTTGACTTCATTAGGTTTTGTTTCATATTTTGAAAAAATGTACATTTTCTTGTGTTTATGTTTTAGGGATTTTGGACAAAAATAATGTGAAATAAAAAAACTATGACAGATCTTAATTTTAGAATTATTTATCAAAATGAATTGTTTTTCAGGTGAAATTTTGCAAGCAAGAAACAATAGATGGAGGCTGCAGTTTATTCAGTAAAATTGACACATTTAATAAAAAAAATTAAAAATGCTCTTGAAACAGCAATTCTGAAGCATCATTTAATTTAAATTGTTTATTTTGAAGGATGCTTCAGTCCCATTAATGATTTTAATATTTTAATATTTGTGTGCAAAGTCGGTGTTTGAGAGGAGAAAATTTAAGGGTAGAAAATAGGAAAGGAAAGAAAGGAAATTAATTTAAAAAAATAATAAAAAAATTATTATTTTATTTGAAAAAATGAAGGGAAAAAAAAGACAAATTTTCTTTTCAAATTAGAGAATAAATAAAAATTATAATAATAAATTGATAAATGGAAACAAATTGAATTTTTGTTCGGTATCCAAACACGGAAAAGAAATTTTTTTTTTTTTCAAAATCCCTTTCCAGCTATTTTCCTTTATTTTCTTTCCAGATAATCTCATAACTTTTAAGGTGTATTTTTCCTGGATACAGAGCTAATGAAAAAAAAAAAAAAAAATAAAAAATCAGAAAATTTTAATAATTGAAAGTATTCGGTGTCTTACAAATTAATATTAATTTTTTTATAAAGTAAATAAAATAAAAAACCTTAATTGCCAACTGCGGCGGCCCTTTTTTGTCAGCGCAGCGTTCCTAAGTCAAAAGCCAGTCTTGAGGAATGGATTTTCCAATATAATTTCCATGTGAGGTAAAGTTGTATGATTGTCAACAGCGCATAAACTCGTTGCAAAAGAGAAAAAAAAAAAAAAAAATCAGAAATTTTAATAATTAAAGTATTCGGTGCTTAACAATTCAATATTAATTTTTTAAAAAGTAAATAAAAAAAACTAATTGGCAACTGCGGCGGCCCTTTTGTCACGCAAGCCTAAGTCAAAGCCATCGGAGGAGGATTTCCAATATTTCCATGTGAGGTAAGTTGTTGGATGTCACAGCGCATAAACTCCATTGCAAAGATATTTACTTTAATTTTCAGAATGGAGATCTTTTTACTTTGAGTTGGCAAAATGGAGATCTTTGATTTAGCCATCTTACATCTTATCTACGTTGAAAAATATTATCAAACGATACAAGGTATTAAATTTTTTTAAAATTTATTGCAAATTTTTATGGATCGAAATAACATTACGGGTTACGTAATAAAGTAACCTCTTAGCTCATCAAAGTGATGAAAATAACTATGGTTGAAAGAACTCGAACTCGAGACCTCCACTCCTCCCATAAATAAAAAGATCAACTAAAACCGCTACCTAATTGACATAATTGATTTGGATTTTAATGAAAGACTACAATTAATATTATATTAATTAGTGATATTAATTATCTGTAAACCTCAATTGCAAAGTTATTAATTGTTTTGAACTTTGATAGAGCTGGAACAAGAATATCAATAATATTAAAATTCTTCAATCAATTTTTTCACCTTTATTTTTGGAGGTAATATAGCAACAGAACAAAGACAGATATTTGTAAAAAAGAATAGCGCTGATTTAGCAAAAATTTGGTTATAGTTTCGAAATATAGAGAATCAAACCTGTCATGCCAGATCAGTACGCACACGAGATGCCTTTCTTGTTCACCAGCTGGGCGTCAAACTGAATCCTTCTTCAGTAACATTTGTATTGTCATTATCATAAAATGGAATTTTCCAAATTTAAAAAAAAAAAAAAAGTAATTTGAAGGCTATATGCTACAATACTCTAATTGTCCCACCATAATTTTAATTGTGGATGTAAATGAGCCAACCCAATTCACGAGTTATTTGAACTCCGCAATTCGGCTCAAATTGAAATTGAGTTTGAGAAGAACTGTTTAGCAAACGACTCCGAACTTAATTTTAATGATGTTCAACTCAAAAAATTATCAAAATTTATCGAGATTTTATATAAACATATATAATACTCATTCTGTCACATTTTGTTTGCTTATTATTTCTTTTTTGAATGTCCTAAAATGTTTGTAAGGCTTTTAAATTTAGACATATAAACAATTATTTTTCCCACAATAACATTTATAATTGTTTACTGAATAAAGAGTTTTTAATATCTTAATGAGTTATTAAAAGTAAAGAAGGGTAAAATAACTTTTGTTGACTAAATTCTAAATATACGTGTTTTGTTAAACCATACAAATAAAATAGGACAGAAAGAGTATTTATTTTAGATTTACTTAAGCCTCGAATCTCAAGTCGAGGTCGAGCTTAAAACTTTTCAAATTAAACTTTAGCCTTAAATTGAGCTCAATCCTAATGATATTCAATTCAAAAGTTTATCAAGCTTTTATATATACATATACATAATATTTATTTTAGACTTACTTAAACCTCAAACCTCGAGTCGAGCTCAAGCTTAAAACTTTTTGAGTTGGACTCAAGCCTCAAATAATTTCAGGCTCGCCAAGTTTCCAACCAAGCTTCGCCTGACAGATTCAAATTCAGCTCGGCTTACCCCTAATTTTAATTACAGGAATTGAAGTGAAAAGGACAAGCAATGGGTTAAGGACCCATGTACAAAATTTAGCAGCACTCTATCTTTGGAATAGAAGTGCTTTTCAGGCGAGTACATTAGTAGTAAGAAGGCTCCGAATTCCTGTAATAGATGGTTATTCAACACAGAAGTGTAAATTTACCATAGAGCACGCAATCAGACGATCTCTAATAATCACCTAATTCAAGATTCCACATACAACAAATCCAAGGCAGAATTAGTGATGTCAATTTGTTAATCGAGCAACAGTAAATGTCATGGACGGGATTCGAAGTCAAACATGAAGAGTAGAACTGCAAGAGTTATATTAATTCAATGAGACTCATCCACTTCTCAGTCACGGTCTGCATCTTCTATGTCTTCATCCTCTGGAACACCACGAAGATAGAGAACGTTGTTGCATCTGCAAGAGTAATAACATAAAAACAAGTAAATCATTTGCACAAAGTAAAGAGATGAATTTATGCATTTAGCCTATTCCATTCCTATGTCATGCTATTCCGTGAACCAAACAGGTCTATTTGGCAACAAGATTGAAATTGCTTTGCCATAAAAGCACTGTTTTGGATGATGTGGGAGAAAGAAATTTGGGAGTAATGTTCAACAATTTTCAATTTATTCATGACTAGAGCATGTGATTTATCTTAAAACAAAATTTAATAATCCTCTAAATAACATTTTCAATATACCATTATTGTTTTCAATGGCAGTTCAAACAATAATGCAAAACATTATACATACATAGTGGTGCTACATAACTGCCATTGGGGGAGCCCTTCCTTTCCCTAGCTCAATAGTCCCTCCAACCCCAATAATCCACCAATATTTGGCCGATAAGGAACTTAAACTCCACCACTATCCAATGACTAGCAATTTTTCTTCAATAATTTAAACTCTTTACCAGTTAGCACGAAGTTTTTAAGACCTCACTAATCAGCTACAGAACTGAACTTGATCACTTAAACAAAATTCTAAGGATGTTAGCCTTTACATCAGTAGCCAGCAAAATTATTGAGTACAAGACATATCTATCCACCAAAAAAGTTATCAATGCCCCTTCACATGTTTTTCCAGAAAATAATGACAAATTTACAATCTAAACTTCAAATGTGAAATTAAAGATGTGAGAAAATGCAAATTTATCGTCAGAGAAGCATAATGCTGCCTTCTAACATAAAAACTCAGACTCAAAGCTAAGAAGATGAATAAAAAACAAAACAGTATGATGGTTTTTCCAAAAAGCTGAAGACCTTGAAATTTCTACTTTTATCCACCTTCCCAGCAACTGGAAAGAAATTTTAACTTATGACCCATGCCTTAGACACAGTTTTCACACTAGGAAGCATTTATTTTAAGTTACCTAATCAGAATCTCTCCAAGATTTCCTGTGAATTGTCCATCAATATATTCTTCAGTGTTGCCAAGCTGCATATTGGATTCCATTAATCATACGAGGTTAGAACAACCTAAATCAAAGAGTAAAAATAGCTGAAACAAGACAAAAGAAAGAATTCCAACGGAATTGAAAAGGATTATTATTTCAACAAATAAGCTACATGGGATAGTGCCACAAAAAATCAAGTTATACAAGAAAATTGAGGCAGTACCTGTAGATTCATGTATGAATCTACTGAAGCGAGAAAACCTGAAATGGGAACCAATTGAAAGATAAGGAAAACTAAGAGTAAAAAGAAGAAAACTAAAGAAAGACCCAAAAAAAAAAAAAAAAAAAAATCATGTATGAATTAATGCTGAAGGCGGGACGAAACCTGAAATTGGAGGAACCCCTCTGATAATTAGAAAGATAAGGGAAAAGCACGGAGCAAGAGGAAACGAAAAACTAATGTGAAAGACCGACAAATAAAAAGAAAAAAAAAAAGAAGGGAAAAAAAGGCCAAAAAAAGATTTAAGAGAAGACAAAGAAGGAATAGCCTTGCCTTTTGGTATGTACCATTTCCCAACTTTGAAGTTCAAAAAAAAAAAAAAAAAAAAAAGGAAAAAAGGCAAAAAGATAAAGAGAAAGAAAAAGAAGATAGGCTTGCCTTTGTATTCCATTCCCCACTTGAGTTTTACAATAACAGTCTTCCCAGTCAAGTTGTTCAAGAAAGGCTTAGGATTAACTGGTATGGTCTGCAATATTCAATCTAAACCCATCAACCAGCAAGATCATGCAAGAAATTGTTGTCTCTTATTTAAATAGCAGAGAAGAACTGGAATATTAGAAATAACCCACGAAAATAAAATTCAAACCTTTTGTTTTTTACATGCAAGAACATTTAAGGCAATTAAAGAGTAGGAGAAATGGTGGAATAAGGAAAGAAAGAAATGGAAATAAGCATTTAAACTGGTACTTACAGCCATGGAGGATGGAAGAAGAGCAGAAAGAAGTTGATGAAAATAATCAAGACTTGCTTTAACCTAAAATTTGTGGAGGGAAAATAAACTTGTGTCACAAAATTGAATCATAAAATGATAATAATTCAGAAAATATAGCTATACAGAGTAGTAGGAAATGGTACTTTCATGCATATTCAACCATAAAAAATTTAACAAAACATAACTTTAAGGAATCTCCACTACTAAGGATAAACATAACAACAACTTCAAAAATAAAGGAATTCAACATTTATTTAATACCAACTCAAAAGAAATTCACAGGTAATGAACAATTCAACAATGACAATATCTTCAACTTCTGCGACATCCATTTTTCTTCCAATTAAACAATGCAACTCGTTTTTTTTTTTTTTTTCTGAAAAGAAATAACTAAGCCAGTAACAATATAAAATTTAACTAAAAAATTAGAATATCAACTATAAAAGATAGGTAAAGACATAGAACTTGAATTCGTAAAACCAGCATTCAACAAAATTAATAAATAAAAAATTAGAATTAAATAGCAACTAAAGAAACAAAAAAAAATTATCATAATTTTCTACAACATAAACATAAGTTCAGCAAGGAAGTAGCAAAGAAACAGAATGATGGGCTAAGAAGAACGAGAAATTTCAATATCAAAACAAGAAAAAGAAGAGAACCAGAGAGAAATCGAACAGAGAAGGATGATAAAGCTGCTTGCTCTGCAACTCCGCTCTGCTTCAACACTTGAAATCCCTAATTTTTTTCGCCCTGGCCTTTTGTCTATAATTCGTTTTTATTATATGTTGATTTTTTTTTTTTTACCGCCAAAACTCTGCGTTTCACTAAATTTTGAATAGCATGGATTTATTTATAATTATCATTTTGGGCTTTTATAGCCATTAGATAAGCCATGCCTAAACTTAAAATGTGAAGGCACAAGCCCATTAATGGCCCTTTATTGCCTACATTCAATGTTTTTTTTTTTTTTTGTTAAAATGGAGAACTCAACAAATAATAGCCTCAGCTACTCCTGTATTTGCTTTTAATAAACTCAAGTCCCTCAACAAATGATTGTTTCTTGATTAATCATAGAATACATAGTTTTGTATTTTTCTATTAATGATTCTAATTTGTTAAAGAGATAGTTGTATTATATATTAAACTATATATATGGTATATACCTAAATTTATTTATTTATAATAATTAAAGACATTTTCGAGCCAATTCATATTTATGGAATCAACTATATATTGTTGAACATTAATCATTTTACTAATTAGCTGCTCCAGACAATGATATGATATTAAAGTCATTTTCAAAATTAAAAAAATTTTAGATTTATATTATTGAATTAAAAAATAATATAAATTAATTATCTTGTGGTATTTTTAAGTAACTGATTAAAATGACAAAGTGTTTTCAAATACTAATTGATTAAGTTATAATATATGAAATATGATTTTCATTTCTAAATAATATCTTTGTTTTTTAATTTATTTATACTAAATGATGTATAATTTTAAAATTATAAGATTGTGGTTTATCAGCTTAAATTAATGAAACAAGGCATATTAAATATATATACTCAAGACAATTTGGTTTACCGGTTAAGTGAATTAAATTCCACTCTGATGATCGCAAGAATCCAAATAATTGAAAGGCATTTAGAATCCAAATACGTTTGCTAGTATAAAAAAATAACAAAAAGAAATAAATTATATATTGAGAGAATCCAAATAATTGAAAGGCATTTAGAATCCAAATACGTTTGCTAGTATAAAAAAATAACAAAAAGAAATAAATTATATATTGAGAGAATCCAAATAATTGAAAGGCATTTAGAATCCAAATACGTTTGCTAGTATAAAAAAATAACAAAAAGAAATAAATTATATATTGAGAGAATCCAAATAATTGAAAGGCATTTAGAATCCAAATACGTTTGCTAGTATAAAAAAATAACAAAAAGAAATAAATTATATATTGAGAGAATCCAAATAATTGAAAGGCATTTAGAATCCAAATACGTTTGCTAGTATAAAAAAATAACAAAAAGAAATAAATTATATATTGAGAGAATCCAAATAATTGAAAGGCATTTAGAATCCAAATACGTTTGCTAGTATAAAAAAATAACAAAAAGAAATAAATTATATATTGAGAGAATCCAAATAATTGAAAGGCATTTAGAAAGTATTGTAAATTAGAGAACAGGCATTTGTTTTTTTTTATGATGCATGCATGCATGGAGTTTATGATCATCTAAACTTATTGTTCAAATTATGAGTCCACTTGTAATACTAAAAATGGACATCTTACCAAACAGACAATAGACAAACATTTCAGACAAAGCCACATTCTTGTTAATCTTTTCTGGGTTCTGATAGTTACCGTTGGCCATTTGGTTGCTTTGTGCTTCTCGCTATTCTCTCTTCTTAGAAGGTAAAGTCAGTTGCGGAGCTTTTAATTTGATGTAGAAAGGGCTGCCTTTTGGTCAGGGAACACTTGTTTTACTACTATCAGTGTTAGTTTCATAAATCTGCATATGCTTATGTGCTTTCTGTGTCGGCAATTCACTACACATTTACACAAATTATGCCCCGCCAGCCGCTGCCTATCGGTTGCTACGGTGTTCGCATGTGTTCTTGGAAAACGAAAAATGAAAAATCGGGTAAATAGTTGAGTTCTTGTTTTCCTGTATATTAGATAATAAATTTAATTTTTTTTTTAAAGATTTTCACCGTAGTAAACAATTTATCTTCAATCAAATAAGTTCTCAATTTCCATATTTTTATAATTTTAGTCAATTTTTTTAATTTTATTAATCAATATTTGTATTTTTGTTGTTCTGAATAAATACGGCTTCCGTGTGATTACCATCACGTTCGATGTGATTATTAATATATTTCTCATTTAGCAATAGCATATTATATGTGGGATCTACATTGTTTGTTTTATTCACCATATTAATTGAATTTCGATACAATTATATGAAGGCCGTAATTTATAATTGTCAAAAAAAAAAAATATATAAGAATTGATTAATAATTTAAAATAAAATTAGCGAAAATTATATTGAAATTAAAGAATTTTTTTGTATCATTTGTGTTTAATAAAAATCAGTTGAAAAAAATTAAAAAGCTTTGGTTTTTGCCTTCTATATGCAAATATAAAAAATAATTAAAAAAAGGGTGCACCAGCAATAATGATATATAATGCTAGTGGAGGAGCTAGCAAATCTTCATGTTTAGAGCATTTAAGAACTGGCATTCGAAACATCTTTGATCTACACTGCTGAAATTAGATTCGAAGCCACTTTACACTGAAGATTTAAATCAGATGCTAATTAAGTGCCCTCGATCCACCGAACATGGAACAAAAAGAAATAATAATAGTGATACTAAAATGCTAGAAACATTAATTATTAGAATTAATGTTTATATATATACAAAATTAGAAGGAAAAAAAAAAGAACTTTCATTGTACCAAATAAATAATTTAATTCAATATATAAACTACTTTGTGATATAAATTTAGTGCAATGGCCGATGTTCCACAATAACTTTTTAAATAGCGGTTAATATTTTAACTAAAGGTCAAAATATTACGTGTTATTTATATGTTTCAGTAATATAGCGCTTACAATGAGGTTTAAAATTTGAAGAAGCCGATTATGAAACGCTTTTAATATGATAAAATGTGTTTGATAAAATGTTAATTAAACAATTAAGAACTACTGAAACAACTACTATTGTGGAACAACCACGACCAGAAAATGAGAATAATTTATTAATAAGTGAAGTGCAGCTGATATTATAGTATAAGTTGATGAGAACAACCATAAACAGGTTAGCTCATCACATGGGACAGTATTTTCACATGTGAAGGTGCCCATAGGCAGCCACCAGCAGCCAAAGCCAAGACAAAATTGGCTTAGTGATGCAAATATCTGAATATACTGCTACTATTGTAAGTGTGGGGCTTTGCTGGATGAGGGCTTTGAGTTGCTGTGCTTGGTTGCTAGGATACACCCCATCTCTATCACATTAAGCTGCTATCCCCATTTTTGTTTTTCCTTTTCCATTGAAGCTTGACAAACCTTTATCCATTTTCACTAATCCTTGAATTGTTCTTCTTTCTTTTTGCTTGTACATTTTTATTTATTTTTTATTTATTAACCCTTACTATATTCATCATTTGTTGGAAATTTTGTGATTTCCCTAGAAAATTAGTTTTCATGTGGGAACAGGAGATTAATAGACAAGAAAAGGAAACTTAATTTATTGCTTGATTTATGGCATATTTAGAATCTTCTGAAAAAATATCTTTGATTTTGATTCAGATTCACTTAAATATATTTTAATATGTAAATATAATTAGGGGTCCAACTATTCATGGGTTTGGTAAGCTTATTACCTATGCACTTTTCAAAATTTTAATTTTTTTTTCATTTATTATTATTATTATCCAGAAAAAATTTAACAAAATCAAACATTTATATCCGGACCAGCAAAACCGCCCATATAGTCTAACTTAAGTCATATATACGCTTATAATTATCATTTTTATATAAGACTTAATCAAATATTTTTATAAATATATATTCCATAATACTTATTCCATTTGTCCATAAATATAAGTCATTTAGAATTATTATACAGCAATTAAAACATTTATAGGCAGAGAGTAACATTTGAAAGGTGTTGTCAGTTAGAGATTGAGAAGTTAACTATATTAACTAACAAATTGTAATTTGAAATTGAGGGAATGTGATGTCAGTAATTAATTGAAGTTCCCCAGAACACAAAGAGTAAGTGTGAGTTAGGCTCACATCACATGGGCTCTCAATACTATAGAATTAGGAGTCCCCACTTCTCAATGTACTGTCTTTTTTATTTTGATAATGAAATTATTTAATTGGGAACACATGCACCCAATCACACCCTGATAATGTTGTTAAAATCATCAATCATTGACCCCAAACTATATATTATTCTATTTCAATTAAATTAATTCTTCCCTTTTCTCTTTTATGCATGGAAATTTAAAATAAAATACTAAATTTTTAATGTTAATTTGTACAATTTTCTTTGAATTGTCAAAATTTGACGGCCAAGCACCTAATTAATAAATTCTACCGTAATATTTCTGAAAAGAAAATTACTAAAACAGTTAATTTTATCAAATTTGACCTAAAACATCTCAATTGATTTTGATATGATATTTTGATAAATCAATTTGATTCGATTTCGGTCCAAATTAAATTGTTGGCAATCTAATTTATTGTAATGGGGATTTTTAAATCAATTTAAAAAAATTATACAGATCTAATAATTGAACCAAATCAGCAAGTTGAGGGTTTAATAATTAAGTTGTATAAGTACTTTCACGAGATTCTCGATTTCTCTGCAGTGTGGCAAAGAACAAAAGAAGAAAGAAAGAAAGAGCATTCATGGTTATTTGAGTACAAATTTAATAATTATGGTGTCTATGTGTCAAATTCAAATATGAGTTTTAATGGGCCACTCTATCAGATACACAGATCATCACTTTTTACCTATAATTTGAACCAAAAGCTCAAAGGAGTTTGATTACATATTCTTCTTCTTGTTAGAGTCTCATGCCAAAAGTTAGCTTTTCATTCTCGTTTTCACTCCACCTCTGGGACTTTGGATTCTTTTTTTTTCTTTTTAAATTATTGGTATATGAACTGTATTATTAGAGACCGGTTAATCCAGTTCGGGACAGATATTCTGTTATTAGGGACCATTTAATTCGATTTGAAACTTAATTGGGATTTAATCACAGTTAAAGTTTTTTACCCTTCTTTGCAAGTATATTTAATGAAGATTGAATTCGAGAACTCTTGTTACATATATACCCTGCATCGCTGACGTACAATTATTCACTCAAACAAAATGACAATCATTAATATGATTCAAATAATAACTTAATGTTGATATTTCAATAGAGCTTGATTTATTCAATTTTTAGAAGCTTTGTTTTGAATAATTTATTAAATTCCCTTTCAATAAATCTCAATCTCATCCACACAAAGGAATATTGAGTTTCTATTGTTGGGATTTCCCTTTTTCATTTATTTATTCATATCATGTTAAGGTAGTTTATTAATATCAACTAAAATATTTTTAAATCAGTTTTGTGTATTGATCAAAATTAAATTCCTTATAAGTTTAAAGAGCACTCTCTTTGATTCACTTGATTAATATTTTAAAATGAATTTTCCCCAATGTCACTTAAATCAAAGCTTAACCCTTTATTTGAAACGAATGAATTCCACAAAATTTTATAGAATTTATTTAGAAATCTATATTTTTGTGTTTGGAATGAAAAAAAAAATGTAGATTTCAATTCCAGAATTCAATTCTATGGAATTGAATATAACTACACCAAATTCCTAAAAATAGTTGAAATTTCTAAATGAATTCCACAAAACTAAATCATCCAACTTTTATGACAAAACTACCATTCTTCTTCTATAAAGCCAATTTTTCAATTTTTAATTATTTAATTTATTTATTTATCAAACTTGATCAAAACCATGTAAAAAAATTTTCTTTTAGAAAAATATTTTTCTATTATTGTTTTTTATTTTAATATTTTTATTTTTTATATTTAATATTTTGAGCTTTTTTTACTGTTGAGGAGAGAGATTCAAATTAAATATTCATTCATAACCAAATTAAAAGAAATAATTTTATTAATATTATTTTTTATATAAAATATTCATTACATAACCAGATATTAAAAGAAATAATTTTATTAATATTATTTTTTATAGTTTTTTATATATTTATTTTAATAAAAGTATACAAAAAATTATATAGCATAACATAAATATAATTGATATTTATTATTATATAATTATTATTTCAAGGATATTTTAGGGAAAAAAAGGCAAATGAATTATCAATTATAAATTTATTTCATACATAGTTACATAGAATTTAATTAAATTACATGTTTTGAACTAATTATACCAAACATGAATAATTCATTCACAGATTTCATTTACAAATGAATTCCATATTTTGAATTTATTTGTACTAAACGGAGCATTAAAAATTGAATCTGATTGGTCACTTTAAAAAGCAGTGATTACGCCGATTTAATTTTATTTAAAATGAAATTAGATTGAATTAGTAAAAATCGAAAAATTAAAGAATAGAATAAACCGGTAAAAATTAGATTTTTTGTATTAACAATCAAAAAAAGTCAAAATGGTATAACTACGCGCATTGTACAGTCAATCTCTCCAATTAAATTCCTCACTCGTTAAAGCTACATACAACATCTTAAGTGAAATTGTTATAATTTATATTAAGTCATGCTCGTTAATGATTCTCATTAAAAAATTGATGTTTCTGTTAAATAATTTATTTATTTTTATTTATGTCTGGAAATCTATAGCTTATATTTTTCTATTCAATTATATTTAAATATTTACCGATATTTGTTATAACTATTATGCTGCATATAAAATTTGTTATTATTATTTAAAAATTTTAATGATGAATGGTTTCAAGAATAATTCTATATTTGTAATTATATTGTTTTTTTTTTTTACTAAAGAATTGTTTAAATTTACATTTGTAATTTTATAAATAATTATAAAATAAAAAAATTCACTTAAGCTGAATTAGCTTTATCCTATCACTACTCATTTATCAAATCGGTTTGACTTTCAGTTCGGTTTTAAAAGTACCGTTTAAAATCCAAACTTTTTTTTTAATTAAATTGAAAAAATTGAATTTGTAAAGAATAAGGTAGGATGGGAATTGCAACTCCGTTAAACTAATTAATGGAGAAACTATATTTGTACCCAAACAGAGACTTGTTTGACCTAGAGCATTTAATTCAGGGATTTGGCATCAATTTCATACATTTACTGTCAGTACATCATCCTACAAAAGACAAGATTTCAATGATGAGAACATAACCATTCTCACGTTCTGTAAATGAATGAATTCAGACCATTCTATCCTAACATAAATAGAAGAAATTGAGCAATTCAAAATGCCAAATAGATACAAAAAATAAAATCCTATGTGTCATTTTTTTATTTATAGAATTCATGTATATGTGTATGTACAATACACGTAGACTCTACTCTGTATTCACTGGATCTATTTTTATAGGTATATCCTACAAAGGGAATTTTTCTAATTTCTAACTATTTCAGATTAGGAAGATGTGAAAGAACCTTTCTTTTTATAAGAACGATCTGTTCTGCTTTGAGGTGTGAAGTAGGAGAAAAGTAATTTCATAATTGAAGTTTTGAACAATACAATCTTTTTTATTTTTTTTTTTTCATATTAGAAAAATACTAAAAATAAGGTGTGCTAAGCTTTTTATCATCCTAACATCGAGCTATTTTTATATAAGACTTCCCTCCCATAGAATCTTTATAGCGAGTTGAGTTTAAAAAATCATACCCTTTAAAAATCTTGATAGTAATCCAAATGAATTATTAATATAGCCAAAATCAATTTTGATTTCAAATTAAAATAGATTAAAAAAAATCAGTTTTAAATTAAAGCCAATATCTTTTGTTTTGAATCACAAAATTGGTAAAAATTTATTTAATCTCTCGTTTCTCTCGGTGACAAGACTAGCGAAATGGATTTAATCGTTTAAATGTGAAACGTTTCACTTTTAAAATATTAAAAGACATAAAGAGAAAATAATTAGATAAACCTACTTTGCGTACACCAAATTGTTAATAGCTAAGATACAACCAAGCAAAAGTCTAACTAAGTACTCTAGTCAAAAATGAAAATCTAATAATTAGAACGCGTTAAATAACTAAAAATGTCAACAAAGTAATCAAATTCCATGCCTGGCAATAAAAGTAAAGCCAAGAGAAACTTCTTGGTGTTTGGTAAGTAATGACAAAGAAGTCTCATTTTTGCTATTAGTTTAGTTGTAAGATTAAATTATGAATTAATTTATTTTTATAGTACAATCAAAAAGATAGATTATTTATCTCGGATTAAAGAATCGTAAATGAAAGAAAAATATTTATTTATAAATTAGTCTCAAAAATCAAACTTCCTATTTATCAAAATAGAAAAAAATGACACTTGTTAATTGTCTGAATTTCTAATATTATTTGCATATAAATTATAGTACATCACTCCGAAAGATAAGATGAGATGACAGAGATCTCTTCTCACTTAACCAGAAATCCCTTTTCACTTAACTAGATATCCCTTTTCACTTAATTAAAGATTTTGAGTTCAAATTCTGAGTGTGGAGTCTTTTTAAACACTTAGAAGGAAACGTTTTGCCTTTTTTATGGATCTGTCCGGTGCAAATCTAAATTAGTAGGACCAATGAATTCTGACATAAAAATGTTTTTTTTTAAAAAAAAAAAATTGTAGTAGACGATAATTGAACATATCCGTGGCCTCCCATTCATCGGACAGCAAGAATTTTTTGTGGGGTAATATGCAATTAGGCTGTACCCAGTTGTCGACCTAAAAGCCTCTTGATCTTAACTTCGCCATTTTAAGGCACAACTCACAGGCAGGCTCAAGCTACGGTCTACCGCTTCTTTTATAATTGACTGCAAAATCTAATAAATTGAGATAATATTTTGAGGTTACACAATAGAAATTACTCTTTATTATATTTATTAAAATAATTCAAATTTTTGTTATCGTTTGAAATCGGACTTGTCGCTATCTATATTTTAATAGAAAGCACGAAAACTAATTATACCACAGAGGCATCTAATTAGCCTTTCATTGCTACTCTCAAACTAGAAATTCAAATAAACTACTATTGTCATTTGACTTTAATTAACATAATCAATCATGGTTAGATCATAGAACACAAATTTTGATTATATTTTCTAATTAGTTACTTACAATTATTTAAATATTGTTTCTGTTCATAAAAGGGAATTATATATAAATATGATATATATATGAGCTGGATCTTTCAACTCTGACCATAGACACTAGAAATTTCACTCTTCTACTTCTTTATTAGTAGTTCACAGATAGCATATGAAGACGAGCTCTCTCTCTGTGTCTTTCTTGCATTTCTATTATCCTTAGATTTGAAATCTCATACGTCAATCTTCTTGCAACTCTGTTTCCACTGTATTTTTAGAGATCCAGACTGTAGTGAAATATACACGTAAAACAGGTGATTCTTGGTTGTTTTGCCAAATTTCCTTCCAAAAATGATTTTTAAATCTCAAAAAAAATATTCCCACCTCAAATTATAGCTTCTGCTACTAAAACTTGATCTGCGTTCTTGAGTATTGCTCTGAGCTCTCTGTTTTGGGAGGTTTTCAAGTGTTGCTCTGTTTCTTCGGCCTTGTTTGTTGCTCTGTTCCCTCTGTTTTGAACTTAAACCAGACGGAAAATGGCTCCGAGCTCAGTTGTTGTAACAATGGAGAAGGCAAACAGCTTCTCTATAGTAGAAATTAATGCTTCAGATCAATCTTTGTTTCCTGATAAACAAAAGGCAGCGAGTCCAAAGCAATTTTCATGGGTTCTTCTTCTAAAAGCCTATAAAGCTCTATCTTGCATCTCCTGGTTAGCGATGGCTTTCAAATCTAGACTTATTTCAATCAAGAAACGCATTGCTTTATCTGAAATTAACGAAGAAGAGCCAAGAAGTAGAGGAAAGTTGTATCGATTTATCAAAGCTTTTCTTTTTATATCAATAGTAGCTTTGGTGATAGAAATTATTGCACATTTCAAGAAATGGAACTTGAATCTTATTTCACCATGGGATATTCAAGAAGGTCTGGTTCAATGGTCTTATGTAGCTTGGTTATCATTTAGAGTTGATTATATTGCTCCTTGGGTTATAATGCTTTCCAAATTTTGTACTGTACTATTCTTGATTCAATCTCTAGACCGATTAGTACTCTGTCTTGGATGTTTTTGGATTAAGTACAAGAAATTGAAGCCAGAGATTAATGGTGAAGCTTATGACATTGAAGATCCTTCGAGTTTTCCAATGGTTCTTGTTCAGATTCCGATGTGCAACGAAAGAGAGGTAACTACAATATTTTGTGTGTTTCATTTGAAATTTTATAATTCTCCGTTTGGTATGAATTATATATTTCAGATTCATTCATCTTTTTATTTTCAGATCCAAAATTGAGAATTTGCATTTTATTTTTATTTAGGTGTATGCACAATCCATAGCAGCGGCTTGTCAGCTTGATTGGCCAAGAGACAGATTGTTAATTCAAGTTCTGGATGATTCAGACGATGGAAATGTGCAACTTCTGATTAAAGATGAAGTTTCTTCATGGAGACAGAAAGGGATCAATATAATCTATAGACATAGATTAATAAGAACTGGATATAAAGCTGGAAATCTTAAATCAGCTATGGGTTGTGATTACGTCAAAGACTATGAATTCGTTGCAATTTTCGATGCAGATTTCCAACCTAATCCAGATTTCCTCAAGCAAACTATTCCTCACTTTAAGGTAAAAAGTAGTAATTTTCAACATCTTCTGACTTTAATGAGTTTTGGCTCCATTAGTAGTAGGGATTTAGTTCGAGTATTATAATATCTTATTCGAGTTGCTGACGAGTCTAATTAAAGATTTAACTCTCGAATTTATTTAAGTTTTATTTTAATATTAATAAATAAATTTTTAATCTTTCAAAATACTAATTGAGCATGGAAATTAAAGCTTGACTGAGCAAGAATTGAGTTTCAAATTTAAAATTTTCTAATTTTTTTGAACTCTAACTTTGCCACTGTTTCCAAGTAGAGATAAGTCCCAGAAAGAACTAACAAACAATATCCGAGTCCTTAAATCCGAACATGTGACAAGTTGGGGTGGGTTGGATACTCACAAGAATCTGCTCTACCTCCATCCCTATTTCTAAGGCTGTTAAATTACTGAGTGAATGCTAATTATGATGTGATTTTTTATGACAGGGAAATCCTGACTTGGGACTAGTTCAGGCTCGATGGTCATTTGTGAACAAAGATGAGAACTTACTTACAAGGCTTCAAAATGTGAACTTGTGCTTCCATTTTGAGGTGGAACAACAAGTAAATGGTTATTTTCTTAATTTCTTTGGGTTCAATGGAACAGCTGGTGTTTGGAGAATTAAAGCATTAGAGGATTCAGGAGGTTGGCTTGAGAGAACAACAGTAGAGGATATGGATATTGCAGTAAGAGCACACTTAAATGGATGGAAATTTATTTTCCTCAATGATGTTAAAGTTCTTTGTGAATTACCAGAATCTTATGAAGCTTACAAGAAACAACAACATCGTTGGCATTCCGGTCCGATGCAACTCTTTCGCTTATGCCTTCCTGCTATAATCACTTCCAAGGTTTGCTACAATTGCTCTTAGCAAATGTTAGATAGTGAATTTAGATTTTGAAATTGATTTTATACGTCCAAAACTGATTTAGGAATGCTGGCACTTGGGGATTTTGTCCATTTCATATATATATATATATGCACTTACTGCTGAGCTAAGCTTGCTGAGTGGTTGAAAAGAATATTTCCAAATTTTTAGTCACAAAGAAAAATGTTGCTACCAATGGAAATGACAAACTAGAACCCATTATATAGATGTTTTAGAGATCAAAAAATTTTTATATAACTTACTTTGTTTTTTTAATTTTGTTGTATGCAGATTTCGATATGGAAGAAGACAAACTTGATATTTCTTTTCTTTCTTTTGAGGAAACTTATACTTCCATTTTACTCCTTCACATTATTTTGTATTATACTCCCATTGACCATGTTTATTCCAGAAGCAGAATTACCTCTTTGGGTAATTTGTTATGTACCCATTTTTATGTCCTTTTTGAACATCCTTCCTGCACCAAAATCCTTCCCTTTCTTGGTCCCATACTTGTTATTCGAAAACACAATGTCTGTCACAAAATTTAACGCCATGGTGTCAGGTTTATTTCAGCTTGGAAGCGCATACGAATGGGTTGTGACAAAAAAAACTGGAAGATCATCAGAGTCTGACTTATTAGCTTTAGCTGAGAGAGAATCAAAATCTGCAAGCACAGAGAAAATGCAAAGAAGATATTCAGAGTCTGGTTTGGAGTTACTAAATAAACTCGATCAAGAACAAGAAAGTCCTCGTGTTAAAAAGCGAAATAGGGTTTATAGGAAAGAACTTGCTCTTGCTTTCCTTCTGCTAACTGCAGCAGCAAGAAGCCTTCTATCTGCCCATGGAGTTCATTTCTACTTCTTGTTGTTTCAAGGATTGTCTTTTCTAGTTGTTGGCTTGGACTTGATTGGTGAGCAAGTAAGCTGAGGAGGAAGCAGATATATTAATTAAGTTAAAAGGTTTTTTTGTGTTTATAAAGAGTCCTGTTGTTTTCTGCAGACAAACATTGCTGCTTAATTAATTACATCACAGATAGAAGAAAAGAAAGAGTTGGATATAATTAATTAATGGTTCTTGAATTACAGATTCAGTAGGCGACGGATCGGATAATTAAAAAGATTGAATTACTGAAGTTGAGTTTGTACAATATTATTCATGTATGTTATATCAATGTATGAATTAATAGAATAATAAGGAGCAAATATAAGAAAAGATTATATTTTTCTTTTAAATTAATTACTTGATTTTTAGATTATAAAGCATTTCTTGCTTTTTAATTCTAATTCTCCCTCAAATATCCATTAATTGTGGCAGTTTTGAGCCCTCCCAAAAAAAGGTTATTTGGAGAATTGCTCAGAATTCTATTTAGAAACACAATCAGAAGTTCCAATATTTTTAATAAAACAAAAAAATGAGAAATAATTTTAACCCAATTTGTAATATTTAAACTCAATGAAAAATCTTAATATAATAGAAATTCAATTAGGAATCCAAAGAGGACAAGAGTTTAAGTTCTTAATTCGATTTGGACAAAAACAAGAATGTTCTTAATAATTTATTATTGTAACAACAAAAATTAATATTTAAATTTTAGAAAATGCGTAATATTTTTTCGTATTATTATACTTTAGCAATAATTAGTATCATAAAAAAACTAAAATAAAAAGGATGAAATAATTTTTATGGACATAATTTGAAATTCACAAAAAAAGACAACTAGAATTTTAAATAAAAATTGAATGGGAAATCCCGATTTTCTGGATGGAAGGGACAGAACTTGGATTGGTCTAGATCGATTTTAATTAAAAATAAATCTCATCCCATAATTACTTTCGGGTGACTATTAAATTAATATTGGATTTTTTTGGATGAAAAATTCGGATCGATTTTTAGAAATGTACCAAAAATCCCGCAATCTCGTGCATACCCCTACTGACCCAATAAGAGTACTAAAAATTCTATCTGAACTCGTGCCTAGCCTACTAAAATGAAATTAGATTGGTTATCCACGGGATCAGATAAAATTATCATCCCTAGTGGTGGGTCCAGAGGCAAAGGTTTACTTATAAAAGTTATATTTTAAATCTTTAAAATATAGAAAAAATACATTTGGCCTCCTAAAAGTTTAAAAAAAAAAAAATTATTTGGCTCCTCTAAAATAATTATCTTTTAACTCTAGCCGTGGATCCAATCCGGCGTACGCGTGGTGAAGATACATGCGCCAACCATCGGCTCCCCTATTGTCGTTGCATCATAAATCTGCCAAGTTATCTCCAATGCTTTTTTCTCAGCTTCCACCGTAGATGGCAATCAGTTGTATCTAAGGAGGATGAGATAAAAAAAACATTGTGATTGTGTCATTTAGTAATAGAGAGAAGATGGAGAAGAAAAGTAAAAAAATATTTAAAATTTTAAGATTTTCTGATAATAACATAGTCATGTCCACGTGGACAACTGATACTTATATAATCATAAAGTAAGAATTGGAATATTTACAAATTTTATCTCATGATTAAAAAAAAAAAAAAGAAATTTTATCTCATAGATACATTAAACTTAAGTTGCAGTTTTCTAAATCAAGAGGGTTTTTATGACCTTGCTCTTCTTCTTCTTGACTTGATAGTACTATTGGTGATAATTAAATCCAATTAATGAAACAATAACCACATCAATAGCTTCATGAATATAAAAGATGAAGCTCTTTGCGCTCTTCAAGTCTATCCGTAACAAGGCCGTGTTCGGCAATTTCTCTCTTTTGCAAATCGCGATTGCCTTCATCTTCTCCGTTCTCAGTTCTCATCACGTTTCTCTCCCTTCACCAATCTACTTTTCCGGCCAAAATTCACCACCTGAAGTTGCCGAACTTGGTGTCTACTTCTAGTTGAGCTGCGATTTCTTCTAATCAGGTCAGTTTTCATCACCTCTTTCTCTTCATTTCCTTCTTTTGTTGGGTTTGAATTCATTCTCTCAATATATTTTTTGTTCGGTTTGAATTCTGTAGAAAATGGGCCTTAGAAAATAAATTCTAAAAATTCATATTTTTTTTCTTTTTGTGTGGTCATTGGTAAATAATAGTTTATCTTTGCTAAAAGGGTTGAAAGCGCAATGAATTTTGCTTTCTATAATTCCTTGCTTACTAAAGTACTGTGATCGTTAGTGTCTGCGCAAGTAATGGATGAATTGATAATGATTTATTTTCAGAATCTCTTATTTTCTGCCAATTTCCTGCAAAACAAACAAGCTTAGAGTGAGAATGTGGCCACAGGTCATCACAGGCAATTTCAGGAAACAGTTTTTAACATACCAGGTGGCCGACATCAATGTCGTTCTGGCCAAACACATCAGATCCATATTTATATAGAAAACTAAAAAATAACTCGGAAACAAAATGGATTTTACTTGGTTTTGGATTTTTTTGATTCAATAAATATTAAGATGGGATGGTACATATGAAACTTATCAATGGTGTCTGTGATGTGTCATAAGTTTATTATCTGTGATTTATTTGTTTCCAGTTCTGTTCGGATTAACCGGTCTGGATCAAAATTTGTGGTTTTTGTTACGGCTCGGTTTTTAAACGGGTATTTAAACGGATTCAGGTAGTACGCGGGTATTTCTAAATGGATTTGGGTATTATTGGTTTATTCCTTAACGGATTCGGGACGGATTCGGTTAGTTTATTTTTTGCGGGAATCTGCCCCGCTGCCCACCCTAGTCTGAACTGGGGTTTATGATAAGGCCAATGCCAAAGATCTTTCTGGTTTGTCTGCATACTTGTCCAATGTTCGAACACTTAATTATGAATAAAAGATGCTGAATTATCTTTAGGTATTGATTTATTTCATTTTTGTTTATTTCTTGCAATATAATTTCTGTATTCTATAGTTGATTTGCTTCTTTGACTATATTGTGATATTATATTAGTTTTTTGGGATTGCAGTTTGAATTTGATATGTTCTGTTGTTGAAGAGAAGAAGAAAATGTTCGTGACAAGAGTTGCATTGGTTTCTCCTCTTAATTGTTTGCTTTGTCAGTTCTCTGCTGCCCCAAGTGTAAATTTTGGCACCAACCTTTTCAGATTATCTAATTGCTTTAGAAAAAATGGAAGATTTGCTTTCTCTCTTGACATGAAAGACTCAAAGTTGAGTACTTTTGTGTTTGAATCGAAACGGGTTTCACCTGCAGAAAGAGTGCAGGGAGTTTGGGAAGACCCTGATGATGGTAGTGATAGTGATTATGATGAAGAAAATGAGGAAATTGAAGCAAATGATTTGGATTATGAGAGTGATTGGGAGCACGGATCAGATACTGCATCCATTATTACCAGTACAGTTGGTAATTCGACCTTAAATTATGAGGAGGGTCTTGTTAAAGGTGAGGCCTTTTATCCCTTGTTCATGAATAAAAAGAAGAAAAAGAAAAAAGAGGCATGTTTATAAGATGATTTTGTGATCTTATTGGAATATTTGTTTTTAGAAAGAAACCCAAAAAATAAGTGTGGTGCAAACAATAAGTTTCTCACTCAAACTATTGCAGTTTGTTAAAACATGTGAAAGTCCAGTCATTTAAATAGATAGTCTTTCTGCATTTATATGTAAATCTATGGAGGGTTTAATATACATGTTAATATACATGCTTAAGCATTAGTAACCCTGGTTAACAAGTCTTAACTAGAAATCTCTACTTCTCAATTTTATTATTCTGTCAACATTCGTATTTTATTGATTATGTGAATTAGCCAATTAGGTATTTTGTCATTCGCTATCTATAGAAGGAATTACGGATACTTCCATGTCTATAGTTATTATGCTTGATTAACAGCAGAAGACAGGAAAAGTTCTTCTATTGTTTATATCCATGTAATCCCCTGTTCAAGTGTCACTGAAGTGTAAAATAAGTGCAGTGTTCATGGTTGATTTAAACTGAATGATAAAATGGGAAAACATGGATTCAAATTTCTGATTATATCAAATGGAATTCTTTGGAAAGAAAAAAAAAAAAAGACTATCAAAAAAGAAAATGTTATGCTTGAGATGTCTTTTGATTAATATTAAATAAGCATGTCTTAAGAGGCATTGCACACAGGATTCAGTTTGTTTACTTTGATGAATGTTATGTTGTCATGCTCTTAATCATTTAAAAAGGGGAAGTTTTATGTGAGTGATAAGTAAAAGCAATTCTTGGATTATAAGGATACAGCTTTGTTTGCAAAGATGTGACTGAAACAACCAAAGCTCTATTCTCCATTTCAGTACCTGAAAGGAAATTTTGTGTAGTTAAACCACCATGCCAACATCAAACTAGAAAATATAGCCATGTTACTTTTGATTGGTTCAGGGTCATTTGATGTTAAATTTATATTTACTATATTAATTTGTAACTGTGTGTAATATTGGCCGTTGTCTGGTCCAATGGAAAACATGCATGAGCATGTAGGTAACATGAAAGGGAGAAAGGAAGACATCCTGGCCAATTCTGTTCACAGATGGCAGGCATAGTTGATGATCTGACTTGATAGTTGATTATCAGCTGTATAGGGTGATACCTATAGAGTCTAATATGATGTCCTTTTTTCACAATTGTCGTTCTCATTTCTTTTTGTGGGCAAGATCAAACTATGTTTGTATTTTATTCTAATCTAGGAATTAACCAAACTCATTAGAAAAGAGAAGCAATAACCTGATATCTGTGTCGGTTGGGTTCCAAATTGAAATGGACTAAAGATATTGGCTCTCTCTATATGTAGGCTATACACCTGCAGTTAGTTCTTACCCTCTTCCTTTTGGATTTATATAATTGCTGAGTTGCCAAAGTAATAAAGCTTATTGGAAACTTTTACAGAGGTTGAACAGCTTTTAGGACCAGAAGAAACAGCAATTTTACAGCAGAATGCAACTTATAATGTTGATAAGATATCAACGGTAAGTCATGAGAACTCTGAGCTTCTTCTTTTATCTCTAATATGAAACCTGTTCTTTTTATCCATACCTCTATTAAAATGTTGCCTTTCTTGCTTATGCATTGGTGGCAATTTTTACTGAAGGAACTCGGTTATTGAAATTTGACTTAGCTATCTAGGGCTCATTATCTGTTAAAAAAAGGTAGTATATGTGCAATTTTTGCACTTATCAAGGTATTTGATTTTATTGGTTATTTATTATACCTCCATTATTCAGGCAAAATGGAAGCCACTCCAGACCCTTGCATTATCAGGACAGATAAGCTCTATGGATAAGCTACTAGAAAATGGACTTGATATTGACAATGTTGATAAGGTGAATTTTATTAGTACTAGCATTCAGCCTATATCTTATGTTTTCTATTTCTTTCACCTTGAGAAATAAACTTTAAATTGAAATGGTATAATAGGATGGTCTCACTGCTCTGCAAAAAGCAATTATTGGTAAAAAGGAAGCTGTAATAAGTCATCTTTTAAGGAAAGGTGCAAGCCCTCATGTCAAAGATCAGGTGAGGATAAAATTTCATCATCACAAAGTTCCATTATCTTCTTCTTTTTGGGTTTATCTAATAAATAGAGTGCTTGTCCGTTTATCCTAATAACAGGATGGTGCTAGCACTCTCCATTATGCAGTTCAAGTTGGTGCTAAGCAAACTGTGAAGTTATTGATAAAATATGAGGTTGATGTCAACATTGCAGATAATGTACGTATAGTTTCTAGAACTGTCCTGATCTCTGTGCTCTGCTGATATGTTGAGCCTCAAACTTTCTCTCTAACTTTCTTTCAGGAAGGCTGGACTCCCTTGCATATTGCAGTGCAAAGTAGAAATAGAGATATAGTTAAAATTTTGTTAGTGAATGGTGCAGATAAGAACAGACGAAATAAGGTAAATGTATATAATTATGCAATTGACCATGAATATTATAGTAGGTTAGCTGATATTGTTAATTGATCTACTTGTCCAGGATGGAAGAACACCTCTGGATCTTTGTTTATGTTATGGAAAAGACTTCAAATCGTATGACCTTGCAAAGTTAGTAAAGATTGTACCAGCTAACAGAGATCTTTGATGGGAAAGGGAATGGTGTTTGGCAACTTTCTCGATCAATGTACTGTTGATTTGGAAGATAATTTGAAAGCATCTTCTGCATTTTACTGTGCATGAAACAAATCTTAGACCATGCTGTTTCTGGATAGACTTGTCATCTCTTGTACATGGTGCGCTGACTTTCTGTTCATCAGTCAAACCTGTTGGTCTCTAGGGTACCCAATTAAAAGCAATATGCACAATGAGATTGGAGCTTGCTGACAAATATAATCCTTTTGGAGATGTCTAATTTTGTTTGTCAGTGATACAGGTCGTATAAGCCTGCTGGAATAGTTGATGCTGCTACTGCCCCAATGATGATCATCTGTGAATGTGTCAATGTCAGTTATTGCTGGATTTATCACGCCCTGGCAACGTTACATATAAGCTAGTTCATTGATGGTTTATGATGAGAAGTTAGTTGATGTTAAATTAAGCACTTGTTTCTATAAATCTTGCCAATGAATTAGCATCTTATACATGGGAAATTGAAATTGATAAAAAGTTTCAGAGCCAATATTAAGTAATTGTATAATTCCATTCAAACATTCCAATTCAGACAATTTGCTTCTGGGATTCCTTGGTTCCCTTGGCCAGTTCAACTGATGTATCATCAACTCCTGTGTATCTATACCACTTAGCACATACTAGAAAATACATTAAGTTAACGATCTCAAACACACCAATCATGTAATAAAAATAATCCAACTTCCCCTCATTAAGATCCTCAGCTAGCCAATCTCCAGTTGCGGTCCCTGAAGTAATTTGATGAACTATAGAAACAAGAAACCCACTTAAATAGCTTGAGATTGCCTGGCTAGCAAAGAAGAAAGATTGAGCGATACTCCTCATATTTTCTGGGAATTGCTTATAGTAAAACTCAATTTGAGCAACATAATTGAAACCCTCTGCTAATCCTGAAATTGCTAGTTGAGGTACTAACCACATACCAGATATTGATGAAATTTTACCTCCTTTTTGTGCAATCCCAAGTGTAGGCTTGTTAAATGCCAGATTTCTTCTATGTTCTTCAACTAAACCAGAAACCAGCATACAAAGAATTGAAAGAATAATTCCAATTCCCATTCTTTGAAGTAATGTGAATCCACCTTCTTTGCCAGTGAGTCTTTGAAGATATGGAACGACAATCCGGTCGTAGATAGGAATCCAAACGGTGAGAGTTAGCATAGTAAAGATTGTATAAGTAGCAGCAGGTATCTTAAAACCACTAGTGCCTAATCTTCTGTCTAGCTGAAGAGCTTGTAGAACTGGATATGTCTGTTGTTGAATCAAAGGAAGATGGAATATTATAGCTGATGCCCATAAGGGAAATATTCTTACCCAACATTTCACTTCTTCAACTTGTTGAATGCTGCAAAGTCTCCATGGATTCTTAGCAGACCCATCTAAGTTGATTTCGCTGTCGCTTGTGATAATTGCTGCCTTGTCAAGGAACCTGAAGTTGTAATGCAAACCTATGTTAGACTCGGACTTAATTGATATTACAATTGCCTTCAGGACTTAATCGTGAGTTCAAACTCGAGGGTGTTTTACCAAATGGACAAAAAATATTATTTGGAGAAGTAAAATATATATTTACCTGAACTGGTTTGTATGTGGAAGCTTGGAGTTTAAAGATTTGGAAGGAATGAAATTGAAAAGAGAAGCTGCTGGATTTTGAGGAAGCTTCAAGGATTGCTTCTTCGCAGCAGCTACAAGTACTTGAGCTACACTAGTCAAGGGACTACCTTGAGGTTTAACAATAACATAAATTCTTGTTCCCAGAAAGAAAACAGTACAAGAAAGGAACATAAGAAATGCAGGAATAGCCAAACCAATAGCCCAACTAACATCTGATTGCACATAGACAATAGCAGTGGCAGATACCATAACTGCAACTGTGTAGGTGATAAAGTACCAATTGACAAAACTACTAATACCCTTTTTGCCTGATTCTGTATTGGGATTGAATTGGTCAGCCCCAAAGGCTAAATTGCAAGGCCTAATGCCACCAGCTCCAATGACTAAGAACCCAAATGCACTTAGTAGAAAAGCAAATTGCCACGGAGTTGGGCTGATACAGTTGCTGTTGCTCTCCCCTGCTGCACATTTTGGAGGATGAAGATTGGGGATTGCTGCTGTTAGCATTAGAACAAGCATTCCCTGAAGACAAAAGGAGAAAAAAAAATGCCATTTTGGTCATTCTACCTGGAGGGGAATCAGAGATCAAAGTCTCATGTCTAGAAGGAAGAAACTATTGTTTCAACCTTATACTAGTTATATACTAATAGCTAGCAAAGCTATTAAGTTTAAGAAATTAAATTTAAAAGCCAAAAATACCAAGAAAGAAGCAACAGAAGCAAAACCCAGAGAGTTGTAACGTCCAAAATAAGTATCAGAAAGGAAGGCTCCAACTAAGGTGGCTATACTTGCAGTGCCGTTGAAGACGTTTATAAAGGTTGTGGCCTTCACGCTCTTCATGTTAAAAACTGTTGTTAGATACACCACAAGGTTTTGTGAAGAACCTATGGTGCCAAGCTTCTCAAAACTCTCATTTCCTGCAAATTTTTGTACATATAAATTAAAATATCATCCATATTTATCAATAGGCGATTGAATCAGCAGAAATGAATTGTATCTCCTAGTATCACTGTTGAGAGAGTATTATTAGAATACTACGCTCGACTCGAGCATGGATTAGCGCCATCCGTATATGCATATGTAAATATAAAATAAATAACTAATACATTACCAATTATAAAAGGCATAGCTTTGATTCCTGCATAGTTGATTTCTGGCTTATCATCGATGTTTGAATCATTTTTCTCCTCCTTTTTGTTCTCCATGGATGCTCAGCACAGGAGGCTTCAGTTGTGGACATCTAACCATTTTATATTAAGTTTGCTGTGAATGAAAATACTATTAAGGGTAGGTGGATGTATTTTAACCATAGTTGTAATATTTAAAAAATAAAATTATGATTTTAGTGTTTGTTTGTTATTTCAATTAGAATATATATGTTTGATATATTGCTTTGCTTTCATCATGTTTAGAAAATTTATGAAATTATAATTTGTGAAAAAGAAATAATTTTAAAAATATATTCACAGATCTCTAAATCTCTGCATTGACCTAACTTCAAATTTAATTTGAAACACAACTTTAAATTAATGAGTAAAGGGAGAGATAGATAATATAATATGCAATCTGGTTGACCCAAACGTACCATACACATGTAATTTGTAAATGCCAAACCAAATGTGCCATGTGATATACTAAATATATGTATCACTAGTCCTGTGTTTAGAGGGTTTTCCTCTCCCTTATGTTATATTTCACAGATCTCTAAATCTCTGCATTGACCTAACTTCAATTTAATTTGAACCACAACTTAAATTAATTGAGTAAAGGAGAGATAGATAATATAAATTTATGCAATCTGGGACCCAAACGTTACCATACACATGCTAATTTGTTAAATGCCCAAACAAATGTGCCATGTGAATATACTAATATATGTATCCACTAGTCCTCTTGTGTTTAGAGGGTTTTCCTCTAACCCTATGTATATATATATAGTATATATATATATATATATATTATTATATATATAAAACTGGCTTAGTGAAAATTTCTAAATGTATAAGATATTAAAGAATTACTTGCCTTAGGGTGCGGCTCTCTCCTCCCTTTCTCTCTTTTCCAAATCTAAAGAATCTAAAAAACTCTTTTTTTTTTTTTTTTATTTTTACTTGTACGGATGACCACTCTCTTTACTTTTTTTTTTTAAAAATATTTCTCAAATCTTGTTTTCAGATTATTATCGTCAAATATTGGGTTGTTGTTCATATTTTTTGATTTTATTTTTAGATTTAGTTTGAAATTATTATTGTCCATATTTTGAGGATTTTGTTTCTTCAGATTTAATTCTGAGTATATTATTTATAACATGTATGAGTTGATGTCTAGCATCTTCTATTATTTGGATTTGTTATGCAGAAAGAAAAGCAAGAATTTCCTCTCCACGTGAAGAAAGAAATTTGAAGGTAATCAGATCGGACTTGTAGAAAGACCATGAAGTCGAACAGAGGCCATGAGTAGCCACCAAGTGGAGCAAAAAAGATCGCTATAGTAACAAATATTTATGATTTGTGAACTTGAATCAGATCTTCAAATGCAAGATTGTGTTTTTTATTCTCTGAAATAAGTGGTTTATTACAAGCTTCCTATGCAGAAAATATATTAATCTGTATCCCTTATATCTGCTGTACAGTTTTTCAATTAAATGAAATTTTTAGTTGATTTTTCTCAAAAAAAAAAAAAAAAATACTTGCCTAAATAGGATTCGTGCTCCACTTATAAACCAAAATAAATAAAATTAAAAAATTCTTAAAAAATGCATTCCGATGTTATCTTTTTTAAATACTATATATACATAATTAAAAAATATCAACATTTCAATAAAAAATTTTTAATTTATATTAATTTTAATTCGTGATAGCCATAAAACATGTTATAAATATGTTTTCGTTTGTACAAAATGAATGACGTAAAAAAAACGGACCTATTCATCTCACGATGAAGTTAAACTCATCAACTTTTTATTCAACCGATTAAGATAAGGTTAAGGAACAACCACTATTTTAGATATCGTTTTTTCTATTAATAATTTTTATTTATTTCTTACTATCCTGCGGGAAAATAAAAAAAAACTTTTCTACCATGTTCCAATGCAACGGACACATGTGGCATGCCGATAATAGGGCTGAAAATGATCATCACATGTGTACAGCTACTAGTAAAGGTTTGAAGTAGGTGCTATAAAAAGCTAACACCAGGTTGAGAATCTGATCCTATGAACAATTAAATTAAATAAAGTTCAATTATATATTTAATACTCGAGCTTATAATGAGTTGGTTATCTTTAAATAGGCCATTTTGGTTTGATTCACCCTCACATTAAGCAATTTTAATCAGTTGTATTTATCTGATGTGAAATAACCCACATACTCCAACACCCTACCCCTCAAGTGGGTAGTACCAATTGGACAAGCAATACAATGGCCAATACATGGGTCCATCAGGGTACGGAAGCCCAACAGCAGAAGGAAAAACTTTCCTCATGCAGGTTCGGGGTCCTTAGGCTCTGCGATTACCATGTTGAGAAATCTTGGGCCCTAGGAGCAATTAATCAATATCAAATTTCCAAATTATATCATTAATAGTTGGGACTTACCTTTTAACACAAAATTGGCCTACACTATTTTGGTTGGTTCACTCGTTCACATTATATGCCCTTTAATTCAAGTTGTATTTATCCGATGTGGGATTACCCACATACTCCAAAACAAACACTTATAAGGGTTTAATTTTTGAAATGGTTTATAAAAAATTACTCAGAATAACTACTAAAACTTCACTCAAACAACCTAAACGCCAATTAAACCGACTTAACAACTATTAAAACAGTTAGTTTTGTTAACCATATCTCTTTGTGTGAAGATACAAAACACCATCTTCTTTTGAAAAAAAAAAAAAAAACAATCTTTATATGTTATAATAAAGTAATTGACAACTTAAACATAAAAAAAATATATTATAAAGATTTGAAGTGATCGATGAAAATATTGAAAATTGAACTATCAAATTTTCAAATAAATTGCCTTGGGTAAATTAATGTATAATTTTTTTTTTTATCATTATAATATTTATTTATTTATTTTAGTTCTTTAAAAAAAACGATGCACCTGTTAGTAACTTATTGACGAAAACTAGCAAACTCAACTAAATGTATAAAATAATATTAACTCTTTCAAAAATTTCACTATACTCTTAATTAGTTCTTTCATTTATGAATTATTTGTTTGGAAGTAGCTCATACGCAGTGAAATTTGAGCTATTCGATTGGCTTTCGAATGGCTTGTCTCGATAGAAGCAACGAGTAATTTTTTTTTTTTTTTTTTTCTCAGGTTTAAAAACCCCTTTATTTTTTTTGTTTATTTTCGGTTTTAGTTATTTGGTCAGGATTTTAGTTATTGGTCAGTGACACCATGTAGACTCTCTTTTCTTTCTTATGATTGTAGCGTTGCGCTCTCGGTCTTGTTCAAACCTAATTGCATAATACTGCAATTGATATCTTTCTTTTATATAACTGTATTATACACTATAGATTTTATAACACATCACGTAATCATCTCTTTTTTTATTATATAAGTTTACTTTTATAGTAATAATTTAAAAAATTCTAACTCAATACTCAATGTCTTTTTTATCATTTTTAAATTCAATAACTAATACAAACAGTTATCTTTCACCAAACACTTTTTGTTTAAATAGCTATATAAACAACTTAATATTTAACAATATTAACGACTATTAAAAAGCTAATAATATTAAAATAATTAATCTTACGAATATATTTTAAAAGCTATTAAAAGCGGTCCATGAACACAACGTTGGTCGTAAAAAATTGAATAGATGTTCAAATGACGACCCGTTTGATAATTCACTTGAAGTTTAGCTTATTAATATTTTTTATTCAAATTATCAAGATAAAGGTTAGATTAACATGTTTAAGATGTTTTGTTATACTATTTGTATTATTCTATATCTTTTGAAAAAAATATAGAAAAGAAAAGTTTCCTATTTCCATGTCCAATCCCAACGGACCATTGTGGCATCCTGATAACAGGCAGAACAATGATCATCATGTGTGTACAACTACAAATAAACCAAGTCCCAACATCAAAATATAAATATAGGTAAAAGTGACAAAGAATCCAAATCAAATATGCAGGTTGTCCCAACATTTGTATGGTTCCCGCTTGACTTCTGGGAGTTATGAGGAAACAAAAAAGGCTTAACTATGGACAATTGCATATTAGATGTAAAGAGTTGATAAAGCTTATTATTTTAAAAGTTTAATTTTTAATTATAATTTTCAAATTTTTCAATGAAATTGTCCATTTTAATCCTTAAATTGGAACTCCTTTGGGCTCTTTGTACAGTTAAAATCTATCCATGAATCTATTAAGGATTATTTTTTAGATATTTTCAATCCGCTACATTAAAAATTAACCAGGACCCAATTTGAAAGACTCAATTTACGGTAGAAATTTCAAACTTTGATTCAAATTTTCAATTAAATTTCATTTTCATATTAGAAAGGAAACATAGGATAATTTAAGTTGTGGAATTGAATCCTTTCAGCTCGTATTCAAAACTTCGCGAGGGTAGATTAATGCACCATTTCAAAGTAAATTTGGGTCATTGATCCTTTTAGACTAAACAAATGGATTAGAACTAATACGCAAGAAAATACTTTGATTTTACCAAAAAAAATCCCATAATATTTTTTCCAAAATTTAAAAAGACCTTAGCTTTGTTTATTTTAGCATTAGTGGTTAATTGTGGGTAATTTAGCAATTAGCTATCGAGAAGTTAATGCTTGAGCAAATAATGATCATAATTAAATGATTGCATTTGATCTTATATATGCTGGTAATAGGATATTCAAAATTATTGTTTACATGGAAATGACAAATATATAAGATAAATTTCTGTTTTTTCTTATTTGAAGAAATATAAATTCTATCTGTGTAGTATAAGTGTTTCTCCTCGCTTTTTCGCAATCCTAAACGAGTTGTCTTCAAGCTGGAAAATTTTGTATTGGGTCCACCAGTAGTGGGTTGATTAAACCGATGAATTTGTAAACCCCAAACCAAAAGGTTGCATTAAGCCAAGAATTTTCGTGAATGGACCAAGTCAAAGCCCACTAAGCATTGAAAGGAAGCCCATTTAGTTCCATTACCCCTTTCCCGCCAAAGCCAAAAAATTGTTTGTCTCTTCTCCTTCCCGTCTGTTTAATTCGT